AGGAGATTGGGACCCATTCATGGACCAAGTAAATGTAATATATTCGTATAAGGAAAAGAAAAGGAAACAAAACAATGGCTTTAAAGCAAAGGGCAAATTGGCTCCTGGCACTAACAATGAGAAGATAGCTACTCTGTCCTTTTCTGCTTAACAGATTTTCTGCCAAAGGAAAAAAGCTGCAGCAGTGGGAAGACATGAGGGGATTACAAAGTGAAGACAATGTCGTGTGGAACCCTTCCCACAACTATAAAATGTGGTGAATGAGGCACAGTTATGATGCCCCTACGGCAAGCAGAAAAACTAGTTCTGCAGCTCCTAGCACCCTCCTGCCAGCCATGCTAGCTGACAGGTGCTGTGAGTTGCAGGATCTTTTGTGTCTAAACACACAAAGGACGGCACCCTGGAAGCCTCATCCGCAAGCCCCCTGCTTGTTTTTCAAGGAGGCATGAGTTTGAGCAGGGACCCTCTGAGGAGGAGCATTCCACTGCACCCGAAGAAGGGCGGTTTCTTTGCGGGGTGGCGATCCTAGCTCTAGATGACCCTCGGATACTTCTGCTTCTCAGGTCATAAAGAGCTCCAAGCTGTGGATCCACACTCCAATCCCTTCCCCTCAAAGCCAGGTCAGAAAGAGCCACACTAACTGCTTCTCTGGGGTCAGAAAACTGACCTTTAAAAAGGGAGCACAGGGGGCTGGAAGGGGAGGACACTGGGAACAGTAGGATATGAGGTGTCTGGAGAGGGCTCCAGCCTCCTTCCCTGTCGCTCCAAAGCCCCTCAGTGAGACAACCGAAATCAGCCATCTGGCTGAACTGCAGAACAGGAGGCAAAGAGCACCATTCCCCACGAGAAGGGCAGGGGGTACCACCTGAATTGGGCACAAATGCCCCTGCTCCTTCTGTTACCACCTTCTCTAGCCATCTTCTGTGGTCTATTATGCTGTCTGCACTAAAAGCTGTTCAAGGCAAGGAGTTCTCTGATTTTGCCTTTGTTACTCTGTGAATGTTGTTTTTGTGGATAGCGCGACATGACAGAAGGAGAGACTCATAAAAGATAATGGAGTATGAAATGCGCTTTCACAGTGATTCCCCACTGTTCATCAGATGTGATTCTTTAGCCTGTGCTTGCCCTATTTTTAAATAATTACTAAGTAATATCCTATATTTCAGAAGAAATGTGATATAAAAACACCAGGTGAAAACAAAGAACTACTACATGTTTTTGATGCAAATAAAAATTCAGGTCAAGTTAGAGGAAAAAAGTCCTTGACATTCAAGAACAGTGCATGATTATACAGGCATTGCTTGCGCCATTACTAAAATTAGATCATTTCTTTTGTTCTGCTGAACCTTCTGCTCTATTTGCAGGGAATCGTATTAGCAATGGAAACTGTGAGAATCTGTCCAAACATATTAAGTAAAGTTAAGGTGTAATCCTATGCAAGCTTAGAAATAGAAAAGGCCTACAACTCCCAGTGTGCTCCAGCCAGCCAGATTACACCTTTAGGGGTTAAAATGATGAAGGCGCATTTAAAAAGCTCACTTGCAGCAGTAGCAAAACAAACCCATTTCAATTTAGGAAAGCCTTAAAAACTAATCATAGCCCATGCTGAAAACCAGTATTTCAGCACAATTAAAACTTTGTTGGGGGGGGTGTTACAGCCTTTTAACGATTTATGGATTCAGTCTATGAACCTTCCAAAATAATTAGTGTCCTGTAATCTCCGTACTCTGAAACAAATCAGCTTTACTTCCCAAAAGTCTGCTAAGGAACATTATTCCCACTCTTTGAGTAAAACTGAAGGCACTCTTGCACTGTGATCCTGTGCATGTTACTCAGACATAAGCCCCATTAATGTTAAATAGAATTTACCTGGAAGTAAGCATGTATAGGACCACAGCCAAAATATTCTGCCCTCATTCGTTGCAAGGAAGCTGACTGAGTTGCTCTTAAAGGCACAAGAGCAGGTGACCAGGTAGGACTGTTTTTAGCAGTGGTGAGACAATGTAGGGAAAGTATTTTGATCATTTTATTGTTTTAATTCGATGGCTTACAACGTCGAATTAAAAAAATAAAACAGTAACAAGTACAGTAAATTATATAAAAACAAAAAAGTGACTGTTAATGATAAAATTAATTTTTAAAATAGTCATTAAATAAAAAGGTTTTAACCTGGCACCGAAGAGAATATAGACTCGGCCCCAGGCGCACCGCTCCAATATTGTCATTGTTACCATGATGGGACACCTGTTATGGCATGGTGTGGAGAAAGTGGCTGGACATTTTTCTCCCTAGAGCCCAAAGGGTTGGGTTTTTCCTGCCTGGCGGGAGATTCGGGGCAATTCAATGGATTTTATGTATTTATTTATGTATGAAGTTTTTGTATTTTATATGCAATCTTAATGATTGTAAGCCGCCCCGAGGCTCATGCGATGGGGCCGCATATAAGTTGTTTAAATGAATGAATGAATGAATGAATGAATGAATGAATGGACTTCTTCACAGAGCCCAGAGTTAAAACTATGGCACTTGCTATCTCAAGGTCATTGGTGATAGTGACCAATTTGGATGGCTTGACAAATGGATTGAGGATGAGAAGGAAAAGGCTATGAATGGCCACAGAGGATAAGGCCATTAATGGCTACTAGTCCTGACAGCTATACTGCCACTATTATTTATTTATTTATCTTCTATATCAGATAATAGCAAAAGTTCTCTGGGTGGCTAACAACAAGCCATTAAAAATATGCTGTGCCTTATTTATCTATGTTATCCCCTCCCTGAGACCCTGTAAAGGGCAGGATACAAAAAATTTAAATTAAACAAACAAACAAATAAATATAACCTAAATACTCCACATTATAAAAATGATTTAGGATTATTGTCATGCTAAATTTAAAGTGCCTATAACATTCCAATAACTTATACAAGATCAATCTTGGAACCTGATTTAACAACTAACAATCCCCAGTGAACTAACTGCGTGTCCTCTGGCGCAGTCTTAACCTGGCACCAAAAAGATACTAGGGTTGGTGCCAGGCAGACCTCAGTGGGGAGCTTGTTCCATGTCTTGGTGTTGTGGGTAAGAGCTGGGACTGGGCCTCAGGCGATCCGGGTTCAAGTCCCCACTCAGCCATGGAGCCAACTGGGTGGCTTTGGGCCAGTCACAGACTCTCAGCCCAACCTACCAAACAGGGTTGTTGTTGTGGGGATGAGATGGAGGAGGAGAATGATGTAAGCTGCCTTCAGCCCTTTGTAGGAAAAAGGCAGGATATAAATTGAAAAATAAATAAAAATAAAATAAATGTCTGGGGTGCCACCCCTGAAAAAGCCCTTCTCCTTGTTGTTGCCAACTGGGCCACCCTTGGAGATGGTAGTTGGTGGCAGGCCCCAGTGTGTTCAGGTATATTGGGAAAGGCTTTGCAAATAGCTTGGGCCAACAGTATGGGGAACATGAGTGGGAACATACTGTTGTGCACAGGTTGTGCTTGTGGGTTTTTCATGAGCAGCTAGTTGTCCACTGTGTGGACAGAATGCTGGACTGGACGGACGTTGTTCTGATCCAGCAAGGCTTTCTGTGTTCATGATAGAGGCTGTTGCTGTGTCCATTCATTTTTTCATCATCCTCTCTAGCCCCTCTGTCTTTTAGCTATTACAAATATCCCAGAAACACTTCTACCTCTTTTTCTTCCCACTCACCCAGCCCAGGTTTCTTGATGTCAGCAAGGAATTTTAGGCTTTGGGGAAAACAGGGCTTTTTGTAGTCATTATTGTTAAACCAATAGGACTTAGAGCCATTGACAGATGTACTGCAAATCATTCAGACATCTACTAGTAGATTCTGTCTGTCCCCGGGCTTTAAAAACACTCACAGCTCAATCTTATCTGTCTTAATTCGGAGGTAAAGCCCACTGTATCACAGCAAAGTACCCACAGAATGCAGCCCCAGGTGTTTACAGCACCATTAATAAGATTTAGGCTAATAAATTGAGCTCAGGGGTTGGCTAGAATCATTAACATAATTATGTTGTCCCCATGACTGCTGCATGAATCTTTCTGCCTGTCATGGAGCTAGCTGTTAAAGTGTTACTGGAAAAAGGTAATACCCACTGCCTTATATATTTCATGGCTTTTCTTCCATGTGACTGAGTGGGCTCCAGCCGACGAAGTGTATGTATTTCAGTATATATTTCATATATGCTCAGAGTGAAATTGGGCACACAGCTGACTCGATCGACCGAGGAAGCCGCCTCCGCCCTTGCCCCGGCCTGCACAGGCTCTCTGTAAGCTTCTCAGTTCGGAGGGCTATAGGCATCCCTGCTGGATTGCTCCCGAAGGCTAAAATATCCTGTATTTTTGCACTCAGTCTAGTAGCAACGTTTTAGTGCATTGCTATACACCAGTAGGTGGATGCTGAAGATCAGAACTCACACTAACAGCTTTAATATAAAAACGTAACGTTTTAGAAATACCGCACACTGTGGATTCAGCAGATAATATTGAATGCTGTAACTTTTCATGTATGCTTCTACCTTTGGGGGTGTTAAGAAAATGTTAGCCCCTCTTCAGAAGAGCTTTCCGAGCGGTCCCCGAGGAAGAAAATCGCCTTCCCAAGCCGCCGGGCCGGAGAGCTGTTTCCCGGGGCGCCGCAGACACTCTCTCCCCCGTTTCGGGACGTTGCGGGCGCTTCCCTCGGCACTCGCCGCGGCTCTTCCCCGAGGTGTCCCACCCCCGCTTTGTCCGGGAGCAGGGCTCGCCAGTCGGGTAGGCTTCGGGGCCCCACCGGGGGCTTCGGGGCACGTTTGCTCCGCTCGCTTGGGCGGCGGAAGCCCGAGATGACGCCGCGCCGCCCGCCGAAAGGGGAGCGGGACACGGGGGGAGCCACGCGGGCGCGCTGCCTCGGGCGAGGCCCTCCCGGCCCCTCGCCGCCGCCCCGCGGCCGAGCCGGGGGAAGACCGCCTCGCAGGCGCCCGGCCGGCAGCGGGAGGGGGAGCGGGAAGCCGGAGAGGCGGGCGCGGGGCGGCTCCCCGGCCGGGCGAGGGCCGCGAGGAGGCAGGTAAGGGCCGCTTTCCGCAGGCCGGGCCGGGGCGAGCGGGCGAGGGACGGGCCGCGGCCGCGGGCGAAGACGCATGGCGGCGCTTGGCCCGAGGGGCCGCGGCCCGGCCCCCCCTCCGGGCTCGCCGAGGCGGCCGCGGCTCGGCCCGCCGCCCGGGGACGTGGCTGCGAGGGCGGCGCGGCCGCTCCCTCACAGGAGCCGGGGCGGGGGGGGGGCGGTTGCCGCGAATTGGGAGCCCGCCGCGCCCGTTGCCGCTCCGCGCCGTTGCCAGGCGATGACGGGCGAGGGAAGCGCCTCGTCCTTTGCGGGCGCGGGGGAAAGCGCGGGCTCGCCGCCTGGCGCTCCGGGTCCGCTTCTGCGAGGGGGCTGTAGGCCCTCGGCCCTTTCCGGGGGGCTGCCGGCAGCCGGGGGCGCCGAGAAGGCCGCGCGCAGGCGGCGGCGGAGCACCTGGCGCCAGGTAGGTTGCTGTGGAGGCGCTTGGCTCGGAGGGGAGGCGAGCGGGTGCCCGGCTGGAGAAAGCGGAGAGGAGGCCTCTCTCTCCTCCTCGCGTGCAGCAGGAACCCCGACCAGGCCGCGGAGTGGGAGACGCAGGACCTCGGAGAGGACGCATGGCATCCCCGCTATAGCGTTAGGCCGTGGAACTCCCTGCCACAGGACGTGGCGATGGCCGAGTTGGATGGCAGTGAAGGGAATGAGACGCTCATGCGTGGCTACCAGCCAGGGTGGCGGTATTTATTTATTAGCGTTATATCCTGCATTTTTTCCAGCAAGCTCAAGGCGGCTTGCGTCATGTTCCTCCTGCTGTGCTCAGTCTCATCCCCAGAACGACAGCCTGGCGAGGTGGGCTGGGAGGAGAGTCTGTGACTGGCCCAGAGTCACCCAGCTGGATCCGTGGCTGCATGAAGCCTAGAACCCTGGTCGCCTGAGTCCCAGTCCCACATTCTGAACCCCACTTGCTAACATATGACTCCCAGTATAGAAGGCAAGATGTCATTCAGTTCCCATTGCTGCGGGACATAAACCAGTGGGTGCTATTGTACCCACATTCTACTTGTGGGCTTTCCAGGCTGTTTCTGGGCCACTCTGAGCAGGACAGGCCTTCAGTTTGATAAATGAATGGAAATGTAACTTTATTCTGTATTGCGGTTTACACATAAATAGTCCTTGGCCTAGGACATTGTCACAAAGTGCCTTGTCTAAAACATCCCCAAATTTCAGCTTCTTGCTTTTTATCTTGTTTTCTATAAGCCAAAACAGGCCAAAATCAACGCAAAGGTATCCCAGAATCTCCATAGGAATAGGTGTACAGAGCACTTTTTTATCCCAAACAAACGAAAGACTGTTCAATACAGATCATCTTGGTCTATTTTGAAAACTAAGATTCTTGACTAAACTTCCAGTAAGCCGAATTAAAATCCACTGTGGAAAACTTTCGCTATGGTTTTTTTTTTTTAATTAGTAGGCCAAACTGTTATTATGCAGACAAAGACTCAAGGAGTCAAACAGTTATGTAGATTTTCCTGTTTTGCATAGTCTCAGGAAAAATTAAACTTCAAATTACCTGTATTTGCTGATAGCTGAAAACCATTCTTATGTTGATTACAACAAAAGGTTTTTCCTTATGGCAGCATTTTCTTGCCAGATACTTCTGTTTGGGGATACAAAATGGCCCCAAATCTAACTACTGCTGCTTTTGTTGAGGCAGGAAGAAGGTTAAACTATGACATTCACTTCCACAAATTGTAGAGCTGGCTGCCAGTTTGTAGGACATTAAAAGGGAATTCTGAAATCTATAGAGAAGTCTCCTTCAATGGCTACTAGTCTTGATGACTAGATGCTACCTTCATGTACACCAGTTGCTGAGGAAGATGGACAGAATAGAGGGAGTAACCGAACAATTCTCTTCGTACCTTCTCTCCCCTTCTGTTATCCTACCACTCACGCTAGTGGTGATAGTCACTTATTTAGATGGCCTTAAAAGAGAATGAGACAAACTGATGGAGGAGGTAAAAGTATAAATGAAGGCTATATGCTACCTCCAGTATCAGAGACAGTAAGCTTGTTGTGAGAGATTTTACATACTTTGGGCTCAGTCATCAATCCAGATGGAGACTGTAGCCAGGAAATTTGAAGAAGACTGGGACTTAGAAGGGCAGCAATGAAGGAACTAGAAAAGATAATCAGATGTATGGATGTTTCACTGGACACCAAGGCCAAGATCGTGCACATCATTGTATTCCTGATCACTATGTATGGGTGTGAAAACTGGACATTGGAGAAAGCTGACAGGAAGAAAATTGATGGATTCAAAACATAGAGCCAATGTGGTGTAGTGGTTAAGAGCATGGGACTGGGACTCAGGCAATCTGGGTTCGAGTCCCTGCTCGGCCATGGAGCCAACTGGGTGACTTTGGGCCAGTCACAGACTCTCAGCCCAGCCTACCTCACAGGGTTGTTGTTGTGGGGATAAGATGGAGGAGGAGAATGATGTAAGCTGCCTTGAGCCCTTTGTAGGAAAAAGGCATGATATAAATCGAAATAATAATAATAAATAGTGCTGGAAGAGATGTGTGTGAATACCCAGAAAGACAAAACAGGTAGGCCCTCGAACATATCAAGCCAGAGCTTTTCCCTGGAAGCAAAAATGACAAAGCTGAGGCTGAACACATCATGAGAAGGCAGAACTCCTTGGAGAAGACCATCATGCTAGGCAGAAGAAGAAAAATCTATGGAATGTCGTTATTTGTTTTTCGGCCCAGGCGAAGACCTTTTTATTCAAGCGTCATTTTAATTGTTAATGTTATTTTAAAGTTTTTGGCCAGGGCGACTTATTTTATACAGTTACGTGTATTTTATATTGCTATTTATGTATTTTAATTTATTTATTTGTAAGCCGCTCCGAGGCTTCGGCGAATGGGGTGGCCTAGAAATTTTCTAAATACATAAATAGTGATGATGGCTGTGTACACCAGTTGCTGGAGAACATGACTTGGAGAGTGCTGTTGCGCTTATGTCCTGCTTGTGAGTTTTGCATGGGCATCTGATTGGCCACTGTAAATAGTATAGACTAGTTGGGCTCTTGTACTATGTGGTTGCTAAGCTGCAAATGTACAGTATAGATCAGGGGTCTCAAACTCAACTTACCTGGGGGCCGCTGGAAGTAGAGGCTGGGTGAGGCTGGGCCGCATCAAGTATTCCACCACCGCGGTGGTGGCCGGCCGCTCATCCCATGGCCGGCCCGGGCGCCGCCGTTGCTTTGAAGGCCACAGGCCCCCCCCCCGTGCCCCCCCGCCCCACCCATTCCGGCAATTGGCCCGCGGGCCGCGAGTTTGAGACCCCTGGTATAGATCAAGGTAATTCTGTTTTCACCTCTGCTTTACACAACAGCTTGTTGTATAGATACGAGCGAATAATGAGAGAGGTCCGCATCTGCTGACTTCTGCATATCCAGCTGCAGTTAGAGGAACAAGGGCAGGACAAATTGAGGGAGAAGTGGTCTCTTGGTACCTATTTCTGTGTATGCCTAAAGTCCCATAAATGGAGATAAGAATGCAGAACCCTGCAGCTATCTAATGCATGCTGCCTTGGGTTCTACTGATTGTAAGTTGCCAAAGTGTGTATATTGGCATGCTAAAAGGTACCTCTATTTTAGCATGCACTTGAATGCTAAAATGTGCCCTATATGGAAGATAGGTGTGTATCTTTAGGAAGCAACCTTGTACCAAGTCAGATTCTTTGGCTCTTTAGTTCAGTATTACCTCTTCAGAGTGGCAGTTGGCCCTCTAGGCTGTTGGGCAGAGGTCCTCCCGACTACTTCAGCGGGAGAGGCCCTCCTCCGGGAGCCCTCAGTGAAGGAAATTAGGAGGGTGGTTACTCAGAGGAGGGCTTTCTCAGCGGTGGCGCCTAAGTTATGGAACGCGCTCCCCAGAGAGGTCCGCCTGGCGCCGTCGTTATTTGCTTTTCGGCGCCAGGCGAAGACCTTTTTATTTAAGCAGCATTTTAAATGTTAATACCATGGAAATTTTATTTGGCCAGGGCGGCTTATTTTATTCTAATACATATATTTTAATTGTTATTGTTTTAATTTATTGTGCATTTTATTATATGTTGTGAGCCGCCCCGAGGCTTCGGCAAGGGGCGGCATAGAAATGTTTTAATAAATAAATAAATAAATACTTCCTACCAGAACCTTGCGACTGAAGATGCGAGGGACTGAAACTGAGTCCTTATGCGTGCAAAGCATGTGCTTTTTTACAGAATACATATAGCAAGAGGTTGCGCTCGGCAGTAGAATTTCAATAAGCCAGACAAGTTTGTGGTTCATTTATATCTTGCCTTTCCTCTAAGGAGCCCAAGGTGCTGTGTCTGATGGTTCCCCCATCCCATTATCCTCACAGCAGCCCTGTGAAGTAGGTTAGTTTGGGAGTCAGTAACTAGCCTACAGTCCCCCACTTCATGGGCAAGGAGGGACTCGAACCCAGGTCTCGCAAGTTCCTATCCAACATTCTAACTTCTATGACATGATGCTGTGAAGGTAGCTTCTTTCTAATCTGCTAACGTGTCAGGCTCATGTATGGAACTGTCTGATACTAAGTCTGGCCCTTGAACCATTGAGGCTGGCACTGATTCTCCAAGGACTTGGTTAGAGGTCTTTTCCAGCCTGTATGCCTTCGAACCTTCCACCTGGAGGTAGCAGGGATTGTACCTGGAGCACGCCTGGTCGCCTGCCTTCCTTCCCTGGCAAGGACCCACTAGGGATGTGGCTTGGCTTTTACAGTGGTGTTCTGGTATGACATTTCTCTTGATGCTTCCTACTGGATTGTCCTATCAACTAAGGAAATTTTGAGGACCTCAAAGTTGGCAGGACAAGTGGAATGGCCTGGAAAACTAGGTTGCGAGTGAATATGGGAGAGAGATATTCAAAGTATACATTGTCTTTTAATAGTATGCAGTGATTTTTATTACTTAGTGCAATATTTTATTACTTAGCAAAACTCAGACACAGAAAACAGTATTCTAAGGGGCATTGATTCAGAAAGTTTTGTTTCTGTAATTATTGACAGTTACGGCTTTCAGGTCATAACTTTTATGGTAGTTCCCAGGCAGATTTTAATGGCTCATGGGTACCAAGGCACTTAAACAAAATAAATGTAGTAGCATGGTATGGTATAGAAAGCATAGAAAGCCACCTTTTTTTAAACAAAGATAATTAAAAATGGGGTCAAGTACACTTATCCAAGGCAAGTTGTCTGAGTTTAAGCACTATCTAAGTTTAATGTTTCCGATCTGCAGGTACCAGAAGAAAAGACAGCTACAGCTTTCCAAGATGACTATGAATGAACTAATGAAATGAAATACTTTTCAGATGGAGTCTGCCCTCTATATAAGATAATGGTGTCTTGATCTGTGCTCACACTTGTTCCCACTTAGATTGCTCTGAAGTTGCCCGACAATTCTCAATTATTTCACAGCCCATTGGTTAGTGATATCATGCCTGCAGTTTTAAATTTATGAAAGGTTGTTTATGAATGGGATTAGAACAGTTCACTGAAAGCTTTGGAATACAAAAGTGCTTGAGCAGTGAAGCATGCTACCATGTGAACTTTTCTTTAATCAGATTGGTATAAATACCTGCTAGTTCTGTTCAGGTGGTCCTCTTAAGGAATACGGCATTAACTCTTTAGGTGATAGGGGCTGGGTGGTCCACTGAAAAGTGTTGGGGTAATATAGGAACAGCTCAGAGTTGGTTGGATATACCAAATATTGATTGTATTTATTTGCTGTTTTCAGCATTTGCAAGCAGCCCAGAGAACCTTCGTGTTCTGGGGCTACATTGAAATGGAATGAAATGAATAAGTAAAAAATGAGAGTTTTTTGGTAGGTTGGGAGATGAAGGATCTGTTGTTTAGAATGGGGCAGGTGCTTCATACAATCTGGGAAAGCATTGCTTTATTAGCAGTACTTAGAACAGTATGCCTTTGGTAAAATTGCCCTTTTATCCCTTTTCCCTTTCAGACAAAATGAGATTCAACCAAATTTTGCGTAAGTAAGAATGGGCCCAGATGTGCCTCTGCTGAACGATCACAAGCAAGAATTCCTCTTGAAGCGATTGCCACAGACTGTTTTGGGTGGCCCTCGATTTAAATTAGGATATTGTGCACCTCCTTACATCTATGTGAACCAAGTCATCCTCTTTCTGACGCCATGGGTTCTGGGTGGAATAGGGACACTTCTGTATCAGTTAAATGTTCTGCAAGACTATTGCGCTGCTGCGCTTTCTGGAGGACTCATGCTAGCCGCAGCTGTTATTATCCAGGCCACAAACCTGTATGCCAGACAGAAAACTACGTCTGTGGAAAGGGTACACGTCCACAGTACCCTAACAGATGAAGATGAGTGGGAGTTCTCTAGTTGCATGGGCTCAGAGACAGTCAGGTTTATTATTCCAGGCAAGAAATACTTAGCTAATGGCATCTTTCACTCACTCGTTTCCGGGGTGCTGTGTGGCTTAGGAACTTGGTACTTGCTACCAAACAGAATTACCTCATTGTATGGAGGCAACATTGGAGGAACTGTCATGATATTTGTATTTGGATGGCTAACAATCTGCATAGCGGAATACTCCCTAATTGTCAATACTGCTTCAGAGACAGCTACTTACCAAGCACTGGACACCTATGAAATTGTTCCTCTTATGAGACCTTTCTACGTTTTTGTCTTCATTGCTGTGGATCTTGCTCACAGGTAAAAAGCTGTTGTATCTACAAAATAATAGTTGCCTTGGAAGTCTTTATGCTGTGCAAGGTGGGCTATATGTCTTTAAAGTGAATAAAATATGTATCTTTGGTCTGCCACATGTAAAAGCTCTATTGAAACAGCAATATTTCATTATGTAAATTGATATAAAGCCATAAGGGGGCTGAAAAACTACAGCAAAATGGGGCAGGATTATGAAATTTAATGGATAAAGAGAATCCACCTTTTTGTGCCAGAAATAATACCCTTTTCCACTTTTGTCCAGATTTGTTGATGATATACCTGCTTTAAAGCTAACGAACCAGATTTTACACATTGTATTTTTATGTTTGCCTCTCTTGTGGACTTTGGGAATTCTGCCCCCACTGGATGCACTTTTTCTCTGGGGAATGGAGCAAGTGCTGGAGCTCGGTCTAGGAGGTTCGCCCATGTCAAGTAACTTAAGGTAAACCTTGTTTGGCTTAGATACTAAAGACACTGTTTCCAGAGGGAAGCTATAGGAGCCAGCTGCAGCAGAAACAATAGAATCTTGTGGCACCTGAAACTTGAATCTATCCTTTTTGATGTAAGCTTCCACAGTGCAAGGCGGTGGATAGATATACACCTGGTCATTGAGAGGCAAAAATGTAAGCAGTGAGGCCGCTGACCTGCATTTCCTTTCCTTTATTGATTACGGTTTCCCTCTGTCAACATCTTGTGCTTATTATATACCTGTCAGTCTAGAATGATCCTATATATATTTGATGAAGTTACACCATAATAATGTGCAGCACCCTAAATATTAGCATGACTCTTTATAAACCGCTGCATAGTTCACTCGTAGCCAAAATACGCTACTGCAACTACCTACCTAGGCTTGTTTTGTTAGCCTTCTGGATGGTTTGCAAAGCTGCTTAAAATAAGCACTGACAAATGTCTTCTGAATATCTTGGGCATGGTACCTGCTATCACTCCAGAAGCGCTTGACGCTGGTCCCATGACTTCAGTGCGCTGCTTTGTCACTGGAACATGTATGATAGGTAGTGTTCTGTTAGAGCAGGGCAGGGCTTGTTGAAAATCACAGGAGACAATGCTCACCCTCAGTTAGGCTTGTGATAGACAGGAAAAGAGTATATATAGACCCAGCTGTCCAGACTAATCGTTCTTGCATTGTATAGTTCAATATGTCCAATTTTCCAAAGAAATACTTTTAATTTTTTCCCCTCCTTTGCAGGCTGCTAGTGATGCTTCTCATTTCTCTTGGGACAGCCATTGCATCTTATTTCATCCCCAGCACTCTTGGCACAGTCCTGTTCATGACTGGATTTGGATTTGTACTGAGTCTTAACCTAAACGAGCTTTGGTTTGCCTTCAAATGCATCGTGATCAACCGATTTGCTTCCAACAAACCTAGGAGTACAACTGTTCATTGTAGGACACAGTTTGGATGCAGGGAACTGGTTTTCTATTTGACTGTATTGACTTTTGCTCTCCTAGAAGCTGGCCTATTGCACTGCTTCCTTGGATCTCAGGCATTTTCTAAAAGCAGTTGTCAGGCTGTTATAAGCTATGTGCTGGTAGTTTTATTCCTTGCCATGTGGCTTCTTGGAGAGATTCAGACAGTGTACATGTTTGGGATGTTCCGAAATCCCTTTTACCCCAAGGATGTCATGGCAGTTGGTGTATTTCTGAAGAAGCAAAAGAAACTTAAGAAAATTGGTGTGCTCAGAAGGATTTTACTGACTGTAGGTAAGAGCTCCTGCAGCTTAAACCACCTATCAGAAAGAAAGTTCCCCAAATCATTGCACACTTAGCTTCTGAAAATGCATATTGAAAACAAAATCAGGAATGTGTACAAAAGTTTAAGAAAGAGTTATGAGGATTTACTGGAGAAGAATTCCATCATAACTGTTATTCCTGTGGAGGATGCTTGATTGTGATCACCAGAGCTCACTTAGACAAACTTCTTTATTTTTGTAGTTCTCAGATGTATAACTATTACATCCTTAATAGACACAGAGTAGATTTCTTCATCCTTTCAGCCAGTTGCATACATCTTTTTAAACTGCTATATTTCTGTTCTGAACAAAGTCACTTTCATAGGACTTAACTGGTCAAGCAAGTACAAGAGCACTGCTGGATTATACTGCCTTGTGATAGAGGTGAAGATATTTTGTATATCAATGAAAATGTCCACCTTTTAGCAAGGTTTTTAAAGCAGCTAATGAAACAAAGTTTAAAACATAAAATGCCACTAAAATAAATATTAATAATTGAGGAAAGTGGGACAACAAGAAAAAGCAATGATAAAACAGTAGATTGGCTAGAACAGGAAAATAATTCATTCACAACACCAAAGAATAAAGCGGAGTTTGGCTGGCTCCAAGAATTATTTATTTATTTGAAGCATTTTTATGCTGCCCCCATCGCAGAACGCCTCGGGGTGGCTTACAAAGAGGATAAACAAACATAGGATAAACATTAAAAATTCGGAGCATCTCGGCAATAGTTTAAAACCAATAAATAAAAACAATTAAGAATTAAAATACCATTTAAATAAACAGGTCTTGGCCTGGCGCCGAAAACCAAATAACGACGGCGCCAGGCGGACCTCTCTGGGGAGCGCATTCCATAGGTGGGACGCCACTGCAGAGAAAGCCCTCCTCTGGGTACTCGCCCTCCTAATATCCTTCGCAGAGGGCTCCCGAAGAAGGGCCTCCTCTGCCGATCTCAGGGTGGGAGGGCATATATGGACGCAAGCACTCCTTTAGATAGCCACATCTCAAGCCGTTGAGGGCTTTATGGGTGATAACCAACACCTTGAATTGGGCACAGACTTCAATGGGGAGCCAGTGAAGCTGACGGAGGACTGGGGTTATATGAGAACAATGCCCAGTCCCCATCAGCAACCTGGCAACTCTATTTTGCACCAATTGAAGTATCCGGACTGTCTTCAAGGGCAGCCCCACGTAGAATGCATTATAGAAGTCTAATCGGGAAGTTACCAATGCATGTGTCACAGTCACTAGGCAGTCATTCTCCAGGTAGGGACGCAGCTGATGGATCAGCCGAAGCTGAAGGAAGGCGCTCCTCGCCACCGCTGTTACTTGAGCTTCTAATGACAGCTCAGGGTCGAGGAGCACTCCCAAGCTGCGAACCCTGTCCCTAAGAGGAGTACAATCCCGTTCAGGACAAGGTCCAGGTCCCCAATCCCGAAGCCCGACCCTCCTACCAACAGGACCTCTGTCTTGTCTGGATTGAGCCTCAGTTTATTGGCCCTCATCCAGCCCATTACCTCGGCCAGGCACCGGTTCAGTACAGCCACTGCCTCACCTGGACTAGTTGAGAATCCAACAATTATTTGTTGACAGTGCCAGCTGAGCATCCTGAAGGAAGCGTTCCACAATTGGGATGCCACGTTCAAGAAGCCTGTACCAGCCACTTCGCCTCCACGTGGGCAGAGGTTCTTGTAGAAGGGCTTCTGAAGCAGATCTTAAAGGGCTGCACAGGGACAGCAATTGGGTTTCATATAACCAAGGTATAATTGAAGATTACACTAATTTCACAATGGGATAGCGGGAGGGTCGAGAGAGGCAAGAAGAGGTTTAAGTAGGAATTCACTGCCGAGTTCCTTCGATGAATGAAACGTGCTTATTTGCAAGGCATCCGTAGTGACTTTCTTTTCACCATCCTGTAGGCAAATTGACTCAGATTGCACAATCAGAAGAAACCACCGTGGATTAAATAAACCACACCTCTATCAGTCATAATGGCGGGCACATGTTGGGCACCATTTCCCAAATAAGTCACCTGCAGTGGAGCTTTTGTTGCATCCTCTGAACCAGGGCAGCCTAGCATCTTTCAGTCAGGATGCAACCCTTGAATGCAACAGGCCATGAGTGATAATGGAAATGGCATTTAGCATGTGCCGGGGATTAAAAGAACAGTGTGGCTCACTTCAGCCATGGTACCTTGTTTGCTCATGCAAATCACACCAAACTTAATGATTTCACATGATCAGAAAAGGAAAAGAACCCACAGTGGCTGCCTTTCCCCACTACACATGTAACTTCTCGTTTCCATAATTACCCATGCCATGTCCAGGTTGCCATGTTGTCTGAACACAAGCATGGTGGGGGTGGCTTCCAAATCATTCTGAAATCCTAGAACAAGCCATGTATTGTGGAGTGGGTTGTAAGCCATGCTCAGCAGGTTCGGAAGTATAGCAGGCAGGGTAAAGAAGCCATAGAGGATTCTTCTCTTTCCCCAGTTGTGTGAACTTGGCCTGTATGACATGATTGGAAGGTCTCGGTTCTTAAACCAGAGGCTTGTGAGTATGTATTATGAATGCAAAATAAACATTGCTGTACTGTTTTTCTTGTAATTTCAGTGTCTCCGTTTGCTATGATAGCATTTCTTTCTCTAGACAATTCTCTTCATCATCTCCCATCCATATACATTTCCATTGGATTCTCAAGAGGCTTTAGAATGGTAAATTTCAAGTATTTTGTAAAAATAATATACCACTTGGGAAAAGCATTGGTACCTACCACATTAGTGTGAAGATTATATTTTCCAGTTGATAAAGAACAATATTCATTGTAATGGTGTGTCTTCTTGGACCAAGGTTTAAATAGAGATCTCTCTAGTTAGAACATTCTTGGAAAGCTTTTTGGGCATAATGCCTTTGTTTGAAGCACTCGAGTGTCATTGTTAGTCATGGTTTGGCCTTGGAAAGGCAGCATCCTTTGCCTCAGCAGTGTGGAGGCAGAGTGCACAGGATTGCTGTGATAAGGTATGCAGAGCTCTTTGAGCTCTTGGTAAAGCCTTTATATAGCATTTTTTCCCATTTATTAGTCAAGGGTCGTTGTACTGGCAGGCTGGATTATTGCTTTATTGTGATATATGCCGGTGGTGTGTGTTCTGTGCCTGCCGTATGGCCCTGTTTTGGTGGAATTACCTGCATAATAATTCAGTACACCAGATCTGAATTTCTTGGCAACTTCTTTTTTCTTGCTGCCTTCATCCTACCCTCAGGGCAGCATGTTTCTGACCCTTTCTGATGTGCCACTGAAAACATGGGAGCGTGATGTCAGTCCTAATCAGAAATCAGAAGAGATTTGGATGAGTACATTCTTTGGCCCACTCACCAACGGATGATAATCTTTTGTCTTTTGTTATAGAACTGTTCCCTTTCCTTGAAATCTAGCCAATAAAATTCCAGATTCATGGAAAAACTGATCCCTAAAAACAGAGCAAGTTACTCAGAATAAGTAGATGTTGACTTCATGTTCTTACTGCAAGCCCATGCTTCTGTAATACTATGAGAATTATGTGAGACCTAAGATTGTACATTTATTTGTTGGATTTCTGTGTCATTCCATATGAAACTCTGCATTTCACAAAATAAAAAACCATAGAGTAAATAAAATAAATTTAGGGACCAGAAAACTTAGTCAACCTGAAAAAAAGATGTTTGAATAGATCAAGATCGGTATACCTCATGTCTTCTTAGAAGAAATCAGGAAAGGGAATTAACATGAGGGAATGACATTCTAAAGGCAGTTTTGCCAGAAAATATTTGGGGGGCCTCTGTCAAAAAGCTGGATTTTTAAGCTTTTCAGGTTAGGGCAAGGTAAAAATAATTCAATCCATGAATTTCCAATCCATTCTAGGTATGGCAAAATACAGAACATGCCCTGTTGGATATGGTGGTGGTATCCACTGTGCAGTTGCTGGTGTTCAATACTGATCTGTGGTGGAACAGAAGCATTGATACAGGAATCCGACTCTTGCTGGTAAATCTGACTTTATTTATGATCATGTATTTTTTTTAGCATTTCTTAGAAGGGTTTTTGAAATTCAGCATCTATTTTCAGTGGTGTGATATGTTTGATAAAAGAAACAGCAGACAAGAGAGCAAATGTGTGTGTATGTGTGTATCAATGCACTATATTAAAAATCCCAATTTGGTGTAGCCTATAAAGTGTAGACTGATTGTTTTCTGAAATTGTATGGAGCATTCCATTAGCATTCCAAGGGTGTAGAATGGGCTTCCCCGGGAGGTGGTTGAGTCCCCAATGGTGAGGGTGTTCAAGGAGAGGCTAGACATGCACATGGTGGGGATGTCGTGAGCGGAGCTGGCTGGAGCTGGGGGTCAGACTAGATGGCCCAGGAGACCTCTTCTGACTCACTCTGTTTCTGTGTCTTTATGTTTCTTATGTATATTTGCAATATGATCTTGAATCTTCTTTTCAGAATCCAGCTTGAACATCAGGGATTTATTGTTCCATATATGGTAACATTCTTTGTTGCAACACCTCTTATTTATTAGATTTATATCCTGCCTTTTTTAAAGAACTCAAAGTGTTCTTTAAGACTCCTCCTACTCTCAGTCTTATCTCCACAACAACAACCCTTTGAGGTAGGTTAAAACCAGATCTCTTGAGTCCCAGTCCAGTACCTTACCCCCTACAGCACACTGGCTTTCTTGAAATTAGTACATTGGTCCTGTAGGTGCGGCACTCCAGCATCTTCCTTGGGGATTAGAATATATATTGAAAGGTTTCAGTCCGTGGGCCATTGTTTTGTTTTCCGTATTTGTTGGAATATTCTTCCTAGGTTTTGGTCTAATTCACTCACTGTAGTTCTGTTGATACCCTGTTTACTCAGGGTCCTTTGTGCTTTTCATGTGCTTTCAGAGCAGCTTTCATTTCTCTTTCCAATATCACAGGTTCTTCCACATAGGATTCCTCTTTGAACAAGTCTGCCCTCTTTTCAACTTTTCTGTGATGTTTTTCTCATCATTTCAGACACTACGTTCCTCTGTTGGTCTCTCAGCCCTCCTAATCTAGGTTTGAATTTCCCACTGAGTTCTTGAATCTTCTGGAAAGGGTCTCTTATTTTCCCCGATTTGCTGTTCTCTTCTACACTGGCCCAGGCAGTGGTTATTTGACTTTTCATGATGATCACTGAAAAGTTGGATTCAGGATTCTGACCCTGTTTCTGTCAACTTTAACTTTTGCTTCTTGAATGTATTATGTAGTTCTAAGGATTTCTTCTGTCATTCATCTAGGCTTGCTTTAAGGTTTGCTACGATAATTTTTTGTTTTCTTTCCTAATAAGTCTCTGGTTTCAGTCCACAGTTTTTCTGATTCAGTAATACAAATCTATTCTTCATAACATTCCCCAGGAGTTGTATTTTAGCACTGTGCTTCTGTTCTTGGCCTTTTCGGTTTCACTCTGACCCTGCAAGAACAGCCAACTGAGAGAGTCTGGCCTTCTCCTGAGCTCTCAAACCTTCACTGCATTGTGGTGTGCATCCAGGAGGGGGCCCAGCAGTTTAGATATCAACCACAATGTGTCTTTTTGCATAGTCCATAGTTGGAATGTGGGGCACTCTGTTGCGTTGGTTTCACTCAAGCCTGGATGGTCATATTCCAGAAAGAATGCAACTGGCTAGCGCATTCAGAGGGCTGCTTTTCCATGACTCGGGACCAGGTTACTTATATTTACTTACCTGGACCACAGGTGAAGCAGGTAGCTGCAACAGAGATGGTCCTTTCTCTAGCAGCACCCTATCAGTGGAATGTCCTCCTCAGAGAGGCTTACCTGCATTCTTTGCTACAGACAGTTCAGCACCTGGTAACATACTGCTTATTCTCCTGAACATTTTGTGAACTGTGTTCTTAAAGTGTTTTTGTATTATTGTGTCGTCTTAAGGTTTGCTGGTGGTTTTATTATATGCTGCTTACTCATTGCTACTGATTTTACTTTATGCTTTTAAAAAAGGTGGTGCTTTCTTCTCCTCCTCCTCACAGTTATAACATGTTCTAGGCTCTTTGGCTGGCATGCTGCCCAGAGAGCTTCAGTTGTTGGGCAGACTAAATAAGTTACTGATCAACTAATTGATTAAAACAAAACAAAATACAGTGAAAGCATACAATTGAAGAGAAAATGAGATTTGTTATTTATTTCCCATTAGGTTGGAATTATCCGGAATCGATTGTTCCAGTTTGCTTCAAAATTGCAGTTTGCACTAACTGTGCTCTTGACATCGTGGACAGAGAAAAAGCAACGGCGGAAGTCCACTGCTACCCTGATTGCACTCAACGTTGTCTTCTTTCCAATAGTAATAGGCCTCATATTACTGTCTGCACTGCTCTCGTCTCCCTTGCTGCCTCTCTTCACTCTTCCAGTATTTCTGGTTTGCTTTCCAAGACCCATCCGAAGCTGGCCGGGACCTGTGGGTGTGACGGCCTGTGTGTGCCCTGACACCGTGTATTATCAGCAAATGATTCCAAGCTTGACTGCTTCGTTGCAGTCTGTGTTGCCAGTTGGCAGCCTGGGTAAGTAAACCAGACAGGACCCCTTTGGTCACTCTTTTCACCATCTGCTGGAAATTGTCCTGATTGTATAAGAGAACGACTGTTGTCTTGGTCCCACTTTGGCTCCATAGAATTGGCCCATAGGACTCGTGAATGGCTTTCAAAACCCCATGAACCAGCATGTTGAGCACCGTCTGCTCGGCTGCAGCACCTGGGGGTTCTACAGGTTGCTTCAGGCAGCTGACCCCGCCCTGTAGTGATTTCCAGGTGCAGAAAACTATTTTCTAGTATAGCAGATATCTGGAATGCGGAACTGGCAGAATGTTCCTTTTAGACTGGATTTGGTTCTAGCATTGATGGTAACTGAGGGCTTGCTGGGGACAGAAAAGGAAGGTTGGTAATTTCCGAGGCTGAGGGATAAATAAAGCTGTGGACCCCTTCTGCTCACATTGGAAAGTGCAGTGCTGGGGCATGTGTACCCTCGAGAGTTACATGCTTTTAAAAATTAATCTGCAGACAAATTAGCTCCCTTTAATGGGAGAGACCTTGACTAGACATGCCTTAGCAGGGTATCACTTCATCTGTTGAGGTTAAGGCGCATTTTATCAGTCTTGGCAGCAAAGCACAATTAAGTTAAATCTTTACCAAAATGTTAGCAAGAAAATGCACTTTATTAGCTCAGCAGGGTAGGAAAGGTTATTTTAAATTTTAACTAATATAATGGAGAGTTTCATGGGTTGCACTTTACTCTAAATTTTCAGTCATGCCACTTGTAATAATTTGGGCATGACTGAAGATTTATTAACTGGTGATGGCTGGCCAGCCAGCCAGTGAGATTGGCTGCTTTGCTCCCCTACCGGTGAAAAAGCAACAACTTTTTTTGAAATTTTGAGCAGAAAACCTCTACAAAAGCCCAACCAATGTTACTTTTACATTGCTTTAAAGAAATGATGGCAGCCGCATCTAGCAACTACCCACCTGGACTTCTGTCTGGAGAATTGTCCGGGATTTTTTCTGAGAATATACTGTCTTGAATGGCAGGCAGGAGCTCTGTGCCACTGTGTTCTTATCTAGGCAGCAATGCCAAGATGATACCTACAGTGGCATAGCTTTTCCCTAAATGATTTCAGAACTGTGGCCATAACAGAATCTAGTTTATTTATCTTCAATTTTCCTCTTAACAAAAACATTCCCTCATTATTCATTAAGAATATTGGACACCACACTTCCAAAAAGATTCAGTTCAACTGAAATGAGTTTAGAGAAGGGTGATAAACATAGAAACAGAGCGAGTCAGAAGGGTCCTCCCAGGCCATCTAGTCTGACCCCTGGTGCCAACCGGCTCTGCTCATGACATGCCCACTATGCATGTCCAGCCTATCTTTGAACACCCTCACCGATGGGGCCTCAATCACCTCCCGTGGAAGCCCATTCCACACCCTCGGGGTCCTAACAGTCAGGAAGTACTTCCTGGCATCCAAATGGAACCTGGGTTCCCTGAGCTTGGCTCCATTGGAGCGCATCCTGCCTTCCTTTGCAGGGGAGAACAGGTCTCTACCCACCTCCATGTGACACCCCCTCACATACCTGCATGTCACCAACAGATCCCCTCTGAGTCTCCTCTTCTCCAGGCTGAAGAGACCCAGTTCCCTCAGTCTTGCCTCATATGGCATCCCCTGCAAACCGGCCACCAAGCTTGTGGCCCTACGCTGCACTGACATAAAGATGATCTGGGCACTAGAAACTAAGTCCTACAAGAAAAGGGTGAAGGAACTGAGTATGTTTAGCTTTGGAAAGAAAAGCAGTGGGGGGTGGGGGAGGAAGTGATAGCACTTTTAAAGTGAAGGGTTGTAACACGCAGGAAGTCCACAAACTGGTCTCTGTCACTCAGAACTGTGGGACACAAAATAACAGGCTTAAGTTCTAGGAAGCTAAGTTTTGAATGAACCTTGGGACAAACTTTCTAACCATCAGAAAAGTCAGGCAGCACAACCAACTGCCCAGGGAGGTGGAGATGCCCAAGCAGAGATGGGAGAGCCATCTCTCCGGGAGGCTTTAAACTACTTTTTGTGCTAAGCAGGCTGTTGTAAGTAACTGAATAGCCCAACCCCCTGATTCTGAGACAATATAGACAGGGATTGACAAAATAAAACGTAGCAAAAACTAATCTCTTTTTTGGGTTCTCTCAAAAGGTCTTTGTTACCCTGGGTCTCATTACTTGTGCCGATTTCAAGACAGACTGGTATGGATCCTTGTGCTAGAAAGAGGCTTCACTTACTGTTGTCTCAATATCAAGGTGACTATTGTTAAACCTATCTAATAGTGTTATGGCAACCTAATAATGTTTTCGCTTGGTTTCTTCCTGTAGCAGTAGAGGTCACTGTAGTTTTTATTTGTAAATCTATTTATTTATATGTGTATTTATAGGCCACCTACGACTGCCAAGGCCTTCCTGAATTGTATTGCTAAAGTGATCCAAGGAGGTCTAAGTATAAAAAAACAAACTAACTGAGGGGGAAGAAGAAAAGGTTCCATATGTACCTAGTATCTCATTACTTCAGAGAACTGTTCAAGTCTTTCCACAACTCAGTAAATGCTGGCTGCTTTTTAAATGACTGCTGTTTCTTCCCTTTGGGCTCACTGCCACCATTATTTCTGGTGTTCAGAGGTTACTGCCATTATTTACATAACGATCATCACATCATCTACACGCAGTACGCCAAGTCCTTAGGGACCGCTCCCATACACCTGAACACCTTAGTGCTTTAGGCCTGCTTCAGGTGTCCTTCTGAAGCATCTGGTTTGCAGACACTTACCATTCCCTCGTCTTTTATAGCCCTGAGGAGGAGACTCAGAGCAGGTATCTTTGCTGCTGTACAAACTTACTGTGATTTCATCTCACAGAGAAGAAGCTACTCAGCCTTGTCCACTGAGTAGGGTTTAAAAAAAAACAAGAAGAGTTCCTCACAGTCAAACAAAAAGGGAAACAGTCTTTTTTAAAAAACTGGATGCAGATTTTCCTAATCTTGTGGTTGCAACAGAAAAGGAGATACAGGAACACAAGCCTGAGACTCAGGCGACTGTCCCTTTGCATCTGAATGGGACAGTCCCATCTAGGCCATCTAGATTTTCATAAGCAGGGAATCCTTCCAATTATGTCGAAACCACGGCTTGACTTTGGCTGCCTTTGTCATCCTGTGGAGCACTTGACCTCTTAGGTTTGCTATTAGTTTGTGTTTGGTTTGCTGTTTTAAAAAATATTTTAACCAACTTTTCACTAAGAATACCCCAAGCAACTAACAAGAAAAAATGTAATCATTCATAAGTATGTAGCAATAAAACTGTACACACAACACACACACACGTAGGATATTTCTGCTGTTTTGAGCTGAAAAAATGAAAACAAAGTAATGGAAGGCAGCTTTTGCTGGATAAACAAATGGCTTGATTCAGACCCTGCTCCAGTCCATTGTCTGGGGGTATCCAAAATGTGTTGCATCCTCTTTCATAATGTTACTGTCTTCTGTTGCCAAATTTCTGTAACCGTATGTTAGGTCCAAACCAGCTGAACTATGTTTAACACTGCCCACAATCATAGTTTGAAATGGGTCTGCATGCAGTGGCTTGGAGGTCCATCTGTCCCAAGCGAATATGTTGCTCTGTGTCCAAACAGTTACTCAGAACACAAACGTTTCTTCTTATATTTTCTATTCTTCAGGGATTAGAATTGCAGGAAACATCCTGCCACACAGCTGAAGCTCACAGAGTGGATGAAATATTCGAGATGGCATTTGAACACGAGGAACGTGGTCAGGCCCTCTCCTTCAACCATCACTTTGGAAATATTTTAACACCTTGTGCTGTTCTTCCCGTGAAACTCTATTCCGATGCCAGAAATGTCTTGTCTGGAATAATCGATTCTCTGGAGAACAGGAAGCAGTTTAAGGATGATTTCATAAAAGTCCTCCTATGGGTGCTAATTCAGTATAGTTACAAGAAGTCAAAAACACACAGAACACTTGAAAGGACACCCCCGTCCAAGCAGGAACTACCTTCAGTAGAGCAGTCCGAAGTTTTTAGCAAGGCAGAAGAAAGGCCAGGCTCCTGGAAAGAGGATGATGGCTTCAGTGTGGAATCAGTAGAGGAGTGGTCTGATGATAGCACCCTTTTTGATGCAGAACCCAGCAAGAAAGCACCGAAGGCAAAAGGAATGGCATCACGAGGAACTACCCCAAAGCCTTTCTTTTCCCTTCCAGGCTCTGTAGAAATACACAATACAGATGAACTACCAGAGGCAGCTAGTGTGAATAAGCTCTATAGAACTGTTGTCCTCGGTCTTCCTGCTGCAGACACTGGAAAACAGTGGGGAGTAATAGATCTGCCTCCTATTAAATTCAGTAGCTCCTATTCTGAGCTGATAAGCCTTCCTGAAGAATGGAGAACTGCACCCTTGCCAGTTGGCAGACTCCATGAGATGAAGCAGAAATTCCCGGAAGATTGGTACCATTTTGTGATTCGCCAACTAGATTTCTTTCACCTGAAAGAAAAGTCTTCAAGCTTACCTGAAGATCTTTTGAAAGACCCTGCTTTGAAGGACTTGTATGTCCAGGTTGTCCTGTCCTGTTACATTGCAACGTTTGGTTTAGACAACACAGTTCCATCTCCTGGCCATATATTTAGAACCTACAATGGGGGTCTCCCCTATTCTGTCTGCTTGGACTGGCTCACAGGAAAGCAAGAACTCTTTCAGCTAGCGCTCAGAGTGTTCAGGTAACTATGGCAAGAAGTAGACGTCTTGGTAAAAATGCACTAGACCTGGTAGACATAGAAACAGAGCGAGTCAGAAGGGGCCTCCTGGGCCATCTAGTCTGACCCCCGGCTCCAGCCCGCTCCGCTCATGACATGCCCATCATGTCATACACATAATTTATTTCCTAGCTAGAGAATAACTACCGCTAAATGTTCAGAAAACATTCAGACTCATGACCAATATTATTAGTGAACTGTGGTTCTAGAGTTACAAAGGCTAAGAAATGTACTCAAGTGAGAACTCTGGTGGACAGAAGTCTAACTAGATAGCTGCTTAATGCTCCTCTGAATCACACACTGCAGTGATGTCTGCGGAAGAATGTTCTGCCTCTTGTGGAGGGTTGTGTCATAGATTCTCGGGTGGGCTGTCAGCTCAGGCCCACAGACCACATGACTGGAAAGTCTGTCTTCAAATACACCCAATTGTCTGAAGCTGCACGTTGCCAGAGAAGATCAGCAGTGTTGCCCATGCTGTTTTTCATGGGAGCTTGCCTGTTGCTGCTGTTGCAGAACCCCCAGTAAGCTTGGGAGTCCCAGGGCTCCCCAGAGACACAACTTGAAAGCACAGTTTGGTTTGATTTAAGCTCTGCCTTTCTGCCAAGAAAATGGCACTGAAGGCTAAATGCCATTTTTAACCTAAAACTTAAAATAAAAACATACTTTAAACATCAGATGCTTTAAGAACACAATTAAAATGCTACAGTAAAATTGAAAACACAGCACCCCCTCTCCCCAGACTTTCTTGTAAAAGGCCAGTGGAAGGACTGCAGAAGAGGGGAGCTTACTTTGACCGAGGTATGAATTGGACAGTGAAAGAGTCTGAAATACACATCCTTTGGGTAGGAATAGAGACTATTGTGTTCCGGGGAAAATAAAAGATAAATCAGTGCTTCTCAAAACTGGTTGAAGCCCCATCAGTGAGGGCATTCAAGGATAGACTGGACATGCCCATGGTAGGCATGTCATGAGCAGAGATGGCTGGACCCAGGGGTCAGACTAGATGGCCCGGGGGGTCCTTCTGACTTGCTCTGTTTTTATGCCTCTAAACTGTAGGACTCAACGTATTCCTGAATGGGTTGCATGGTGAGGGGCTTTTCATTTCTAAGGGGTTTTCTTTCTCAAGACTGACAACTTGCCATTATTGGTGTGTGGCCCCTTTAAGAGAACAGCTCCTTTCCTCTCACTCTATAAGCCATACTTAAATTCTATTCAGAGGCATACTGCCTCTGTATACCTCTAATAGGAAGAAGATTCAGCATAAAAACCTGACTAGAACCTTTCCAAGGGATCTTAGAACATTTCTCAGAGTGATGCCCACCTTCCCAGAGATCCTCATTCTCTGTGACATCAGATGACGTCAGACAAGCTGCCACCTTGGGTGAAGGGCATCACTTTCGTGGCCCTGCAGGCCTCGTCCACCAGCTTTTCTCAACGTCCCCAACTCAGCTCACAGGAGCAAACATGCTCCCTGAGCTGACTACATGCCCATGAGGTGGGCAAACAGATCATACACGTGATACTCAGTGCAATGGGACTGTAGGTGCTGATAGGCTTGGGTGGCTCACCCTTCCTTTCACAGGGCTGGTGCTTAATGGGAGATGATTACTATCATTAGGCTTTAAAACGGGGGTGGGGAAAGTTTATCTCCCTAGGCCAGCTCTTCTGCAGAACCTCAGGGTGGGCTCCCAACAAACCAGAGTACCAAGGCAAAGAATCCCCGCCATTATTCCACTCAGTGATTGGACATAATAGTGTGGAGGTCAATCTCAGCTCTCTCACCCTCCTGGCTGGGCGTGCTGGTGAATTTAGGCTAGTATCTCTGCTTGGAGTTAACAGTGCAGGTTCTCCCTCAGCCTTCTAATTGGGCTCCACCTTCCCCATGTGCTCCCCAAAGGGGGAAGGTGTGGGAAAGGCAAGCTGGCCCAGATGAGTAACGCTTTTCCTGCAAGCTTGATCAAGCGATCAGTACAGCACTTGGGCTCCCACTGTTCTCTTTTTCAAAGGATGTGAAGACACATTTTTCACCTAACCCTTTGAATCATGTAGTTTTTAATGTTCTTTTTTATCGTTTTAGATGTCTGTCCGCTGCCTTGAGAGCTTGTTTTTGTTTTTGCAGAAAGGGCAGTATAGAAAATTTAAGTGTGAAACGGTGCATAAAACTCACACACAATGAAGACAGATCCGTGACCCCAGCTGTGCCCAAGGGCCAAATTACATCCCAGGGAATAATGTCATCCGGCCTGCAGGGGACTCCATGGTGTGTTATCCTGCCTGTCTCCAAACCAATTTAAGTTCAAGGTCCCTGTTTGAAAATATGCCAGCACTAAAGAGGGCATCCTTAGGCAGCAAAATGGCCTTCCTATCCATTTCTTGGGCTAGCTCTATTTAGATCCTATTTGTTTGTTTGAAGCAATAGCTAGTGTTTATGCCCACAGCCATCGGCAGTGACCTTTCTTAGATGTTCAAGGAGAAAAAAAATCCTTTCCATTGTCTCCAGCATTGTGAAATAGCTGGGACACAATGCAAGATCAAAAACAACTTTAAGAAATGCTTCTGTGGGCATGTGTCATTCGAAGATAGATAAGTGCACCACTGTGAGTGCTCTCTCAGAATCCCCTGGGACCGGCGGATGGGGGCTAGTACAATGCCTTAGGTTGTGTGGGGAGGGATTACTGTGAATCACTGGCCACATGATTGCTCTTAGGAGGGTGATGAGTGCTATTGTGAGGCCCTGACCGTCGCATTAAGAAACCAGAATTTGGAGTACTAAATTGCGACAGGCCGTGGAATGAAGTACAGTTTGAAACATAGAAACAGAGCGAGTTAGACGGGGTCTCCCATCTAGTCTGACCCTGGCTCCAGCTGGCTCCGCTCATGACATGCCCACCATGTGCACGTCCAGCCTATCCTTGAACACCCTCACCAATGGGGCCTCGACCTCTCGTGGAAGCCCATTCCACACCCTCGAGGTCCCGACTGTCAGGAACTGCTTCATGGCATCTAAATGGAACCTTGGAAAGGGGAAACCTTTACCTTTTTATCTGAAAGGCACACAGTGTGAAGGCTGTCTGAGCTATTTTAAGTACTCGGGTAACTGATTCCTCCAACCAGCTTTACAGCTGTGATGCTACTGTCAGGCTCTTGTTTGATTTTATACAGGGAGAAGTAGTTAAGCTTTCTGACATCACTCCATAGATCTCTGCATTGTGCATTTTGCATTGCACTGTGTGTCTTTCAGATATATAGGTAAAGGTTTCCCCTTGATGTTAAGTCCAGTCATGCCTGACTCCAGGGGGCGGTGCTCATCTCCGTTTCCTGGCCGAGGGAGCCAGCGTTTGTCCGCAGACAGTCTCCATGGTCACGTGGCCGGCATGACTAAACACCGAGGTGCACGGAACGCTGTTACCTGCCCACCGAAGTGGTACCTTTTTATCTACTTGCATTTGCATGCTTTCAAACTGCAAGGCTGGCAGGAGCTGGGACGGAGCAACGGGAACTCACCCCGTTGTGCAGATTCGAACCAGCAACCTTTTGATCAACCGGCTCAGCGGTTTAATCCACTGCGCCACCTACATCCCTTTTCTTTCAGATACACAGTTAAGCTTATGGTTGATAAGGCAAGCCTGGGTCCTGTCGAAAGTTCCAAAGAGCTGCTGAACTGTCTTGAAGAGTATGAAAATGACTGGTACATTGGACTGGTGAATGGAAAAGAGTGGCAGCAAGCTGTTTTGCAAGAAAAGCCCTATCTTTTTTCTTTGGGACACGATTCTAATATGGTAAGTGGTGAGTTTTATCCTTGCTAACAAGATTAAGTGGATTTTTCCTTGATATGTCAGTTTTTTCCATCTAAATTTTATCTAGGATTAAAGAAGAAAGTAGCTTAATAGCTTAATAAAATCAAATGCTGTATTTTTCTTACATGAAAATTAAGATTGGCTATTACATTGAGTGCATATATTCTGTAGATTCTTATATTTCATATTTCACAAGACATACTACTCTTGAAGATAATTATAACAAAGACAGTCCAAATATTTGCATATTTATCCATTTGTAAACTGCACCTAAAACCGCCTGCTCAAAAGTTTTGTATTGTCCTCCACTGACTGTTATTTTTGATGAATGTTTATCCTTCCAATGTTGTAATATTAGTCTTTTAGCTGTCAAGGGCCCCAAGAATCCATTTATGTTGATCTAGCATTAAATTTCAAGTGATGGGTAGATAGGTAAGAAGAACATGCATCTCTGTAAATATGAAGGCACCTTTCATCACAAAATTTATCCAGACTGTTACAGAAACAGCCACTGGGAATTGCCAAAGCATATGACTAAAAGAATAGTTAACTGTATCACATCTTCAACTACTAGCCAATTTATTTAAGCCCTTATTGAAAAGACCTTGTGGTGGCCACGATACTCAGAACATCAATTTTTGCTGAATTAAATGTAACCTAAAACCCATTACCCCTTTTCAGATAAATGCCAACAAAATGCTCCATTGATCTGGCAAAATAGGGTACTCAGGTTCTTTATTCCATTCATGCTTGAGACCCTAATTGTTCACCCATTATAGATATTTGTAAACATGGAACGTGGGTGTTTGCAACTGTTCAGGCTCAGTCAACTCTTCTGATAAAAGAGGGGTTTGATCCTGTAAATGCAGCAGAGCTGAAACTCAATTCTGGCGAATGTCCTGATTGTATATATTGTCATTCTGAATTTTACTGTAAAGCCTAGATTTTTTTTTAAAAAAAAGCAGTTTTGCTGATGCTTTTCTCCTTTGAGGTTTGCATGTCTTGCTGTGTCTTGTTCTGAAGCCTCTAGCACACATGGTTGCAAAGAAAGGGAATTTCAGGCACAATCCTGTGCATATTTAGACAGAAAAAACCCTCTAGCTGGGGAATTCTGGGCCTGGAAGCCCTTTTCTCTGTCTAAACAAGCACAGGCTGCATCCTACCATTGTGATCCTTATACGTATTTACTCAGGAGCAAGTGCCATTAAAGTGTGTGGGACTTATGCCTGAATCAGACGTCCAAGATGTACAAACCTCAAAACATAAAACCTGACTTCTGAACTGGTTTGTATGCAACAATGCCCCAGGTTTCTTTTTTTTAAATCTAGGTTGTTGTTAGCTGCGAAGTCGTGCCCAACCCTTAATGACCCCATGGACAACATTCCTCTGGGCCTCCCTGTCCTCTGCCATCCCCTGGAGTCCTCTTAAGCTCACAGCGACTGCTTCAGTGACTCCATCCAGCCACCTCATTCTGCCGTCCCCTTCTTTTGTCATCTATTGTTCCCAGCATTAAATATAGGTTACCATAAGGGAAACGGCATTCCCACTTGCTTTGTCCTCAGGAGAGTGGCTATTTATTGACTTATTACTAGTTTTTCCTTGAGAAAATAGCTCAAAGTTATTTACATGGGCCTCCTCCTTCCCTCCTAACTCTGGGGCAGGTGAGGCTGAGAGTCTGGCCCAGAGTCACCCAGATTGCTTTTAAGGACGAGCGGGTACTAGAACCCAGATCTCTTGAGGCCAGGACAACACCCGAATTGCTAAGGCTCACTGGAACCGCCCCCCCCCCCCGGCTGTCCCAAAATGATCTGTCTCCAGCCTAGCTAGCTATATATCCCAAGTGGGAGCCCTGCCTTGCCTTTCCGCAGCCAAGCCAGTGCTGTGATCAGCCAGAGTGACTGAGCCATGTGCATTAACATGCTGCTTGGCTCACAGTGGGCCAGGTCTGGAATAAACCCAGGAAAGAGAGGATTTAAGAGGCGGGTTATGGGTGGCTATCAGTGCTAGGAGGACTTGCGAAGCCATCGCTGGTCCAATACACCCCCACCCCTTTGTTCTGCCATTTGTCGCATCTTCTCCTGCTGACTTTGATCCTTGCCATCCTCTCATCTGGTGCCTCTTTAGGAGGCAGGGAGTGGGAACAATGCAGACCATATTTCTAACCCATCCAATAGAATGAGCATCTTTTAATTCAGCTAGTGATTTTCACAAGGCTACTTGGTGAGCTTCACAGGGGAGGGGAGTTTTGAGTCTGCTGTTCCCTGCTAGGTGATGTAGCTATTATATTGAACTTTTGTCTATATGCTTACTCAATTTAAGTTTAATTTGGTGAATTCTGGAAATGTGGGCGCTTTTCCTAGCTTATCAAATGATTTTAGGTCCTTTTGACATAGGGTAAAACTAGTCTGTGTCTTTTGAGCAGGCATGCATGTGAGCATGACATCCAAGAACTGATTATGCATAACCCATTCCAGGGAGAGGTCGTGACAGGCCTCTTTGTCCTGTGACTGATTTGCCATACTGAACATGAGTTCAGGCTTTTTACCATTAAATTTCCAAACAATGCGCCGATAGATTACTCGTGCAGTGACCCCAGACAGGACTAGAAACTTAGCAAAATTAACAAGATTGACTTTTTTAATAGATTAAGCTTGCCACAATTGATAAATAAATCATACAGAACTGTGAGAAACTGAATGAACACTTAACCACACTATCTCCAACAGGTAGGATCCACACTTGATCAAGTCACATTCAGTTCAATAGGCCTACTTGAAGTATAGCTGTCTAGATCCAAGCCAATATTCACGACTGATGCCACAGACTACTTAGGGAGGAAAATCTGAATTTTGTAGAAATGGGGTATGTTCTACAGGGACCCAGAGCGCTCAGACACAAGCTCTGTCTGTCTGTCTGTCTGTCTGTCTGTCTGTCTGTCTTCCAGGGAGCTTATACTAGCAGAGTCCTTACCCTTCAGGAATTTCTGGTGCAAGTTGGCAAACTGAATGGCGAAGCAGTGAGAGGACAGTGGGCAAATCTGTCATGGGAGCTGCTCTATGCTACCAATGACGACGAGGAGCGGTACAGCATCCAGGCCCATCCCCTGCTCCTGAGGAACCTGACCATCCAGGCCGCAGACCCTCCCCTTGGCTACCCGGTGTATTCCTCCGAGCCTCTGCACATGGCCTTGCTCTCGGGTTTGGACACGTGGCTCTGAAGTTCTGCTCCAGACTGCGGGTGGACTTGTCTCACCACAAGCTCCTTTGCCAAAGATAATGCTGGCTGTAGGTAGAGTCTTTGGTCAGGAATCTCTGAATTGCTTTCCAGCACCGGAATGCTGAGCCTAACAATGGGAGATGTTGGCACTAAGGACAACTCCTGATGCAGGCACTAAGCTCATTGGTGCATGTGCTTTGCTTTTTTTCATAAACTGAAAGATCATTTTGACAGGTGACCTGAAGTAGAAAGCAGGTTACCACAAATTAGTATAAAAACGTGCTCTTTCCCTGATTTTGATATAACAGTCCTCCTCTTATCACTTCTTCTATTGTGTATCATATTTGCATTATCAAAAGGATACTTGAAAAAAAAGCATTTAATAATATACATCTGTTCAGCTGACAGAACCAGAGCTTTTGTTAAACATGCCAAATAGCACTTGGTAAAAGCCAACTGTTGATGTTGTGGTAAGAATGTTGGGAGGAGAAATACACCTGACAGCTGTGCCATTTAGAGGCAATATTGAATTCACTGGGAGCTGAATTCCCATCTGTTTTTCTCTATAGGACTAAAAGACCAATCCCACAATATTTTCTCCAAGGGAGTACGTTGGAATTATTGAAAACGTGGGCTTTATCCAAGTGGAAGAAAGCTTGTGGACCAACTTTTCTCAGCCTCATGTTCTCCATGTTTGGGACTTGAACTCCCATCAGCCAGCATGGCCAGTGGTTAGGAATACTGGGGGATGTAGTCCAAAATACCTGGAGGACATCAGGTTGAGAAAGGCTGTTGCAAATCTTGAAAGGGGCAGGTAGGGGTGTGAGTGTGTGTAATGTCGATCGAATTGTCTTTTGGCTGTTAAAACCTAGTCTGTTAAAAACATCATTTCTTGTCAAGGTAGATTTAAAAAAGGAAGGAAGGAAAGGAAGTTAGTGTTTGAAATGGCCTTCCTCGTTTCCCCTCTTTATCCAGGCAGCGATGCAGTGAAGCTTTGGATATGGTCCTCCTTAGGAGCTTTTTTTGTAGTAAGAAACATCAGCATCCTGTAATGAGTAATACACACTCATTAGTAAATACTTTTCTTAATCTCTTTATGGAACCACGTAATTAAGCAGCATGTACTAGGAGACAGTGAAAAAGAAGGCACAGTATTTTTTTTCTTTTTACCCCTCATCGGCTGCACAGCGCAATGCGCTTGATGATACCCCTGGACTCAGAAGATTATGAATTAAGATTATAATCTTAGGACACCGAGGTGACGGTTGCCTTTGTGTTTCTCCAGCCCTGCAAAAAACTTAGCCAGCAGGCAAACAGGTGAGGCTGAGGCACGGCTAAGATATTTCATATGGGGGCCACAGGGCTGCACGGAAATGTCTGATGGAAATGTGTTGCACTGTGGCCATTTAATACTGTTTTTTCAGTTCTACCCTTAAACACAGCCCAGAAATAACGTTAAAGAAAACAAATATTCCGAAGCCAAACCCAGGTATTCATCTTTACCCTAAGAAAGATTTGTCTACTGTAGGATAGTGAACCTTTTTCAGCCTGGAAGTCCACAATTCCTGTTTGGAACGGATTCTAAGGGGACTATGGTCCAGCTATGAGTGGAGCTGGGGGCAAATGTGAGTCCTACCAGTTTGGACATTTTCCAAGGATACAAAATGTACTTCAACTGTAAGCTAAGTTCCCTTGAAATGGCCTCATCTCTCCGATCATTAGTAGAAGTAACAGTAAGGCAAATATTACATGCAAGGTGAGGGAGCAGAGCTGCCCCATCCTTGACCTGCAGGAACAAGTGTTTGCTGCTTTTAAAAAAAAAGGTAATCTAAAACTTAGCAACCTTATAAGGACAATATAATTCAGTGATGAGACACACATACTAACTTGTAGCATTTAGAATATTAACTAGTGTACTTCTGCCAGTATGAAAACAGATGACTCTCCTGCATTTTTATAACCAACAACCAATGATGGTAGTTCCAAAAAAAGCTAAAATTAAAAAGTGGCAGTGAAATTAGAGTACTGCATCAAAAACTGAATTACGACAAAAACTAATCTCTGTTTGGGCATGGGAAAGAACACACCCAGTTTTCAGCCTCTCTCTCACATCTTGGCCCGAATAAGCTCCAGAGGGTTGCATTTGGTAACTGTCTTCCCATGAAGACGATTAGAGCAAGATTTAGATTCAGATAAAAGGAAGTATTTTTCATTCAAGTCACAGAAAGGAATGTGCTTTCCAGGATGCAGTGATGGATGTAAATTCGGATGGCTTTCAAAGGAGTGGCTTTATATAAATTCAGGCAGCAGAAGGCAATCAACGGCCACTGGTCCTGATGACTATGTGCTGCTTCCAGGATCAGAAGCAGTGTGCCATGTGCTGAGGAGCATGGACAGGAGCGTGCTCTTGGGCACATGTCCTACTTGGAGCATCGGTTTAGCCACTGGGAAGAGACCCTGGGTGAAACAGGCATTTGGTCTGGTAGAGCCACAGGGGTCCTAAGTTCTGCCTGGTAAGCTTCCCAAGATGTCCGCCTTGTACTGAGGTATTCTAGCAAGGGATTCAGATGACCTTGTAGGGTCGCTGTCCTGGGTATGCAAGGCTGTTTGGGCCTTCTGATCCCATGCGTTTCCTCCCTGCCTTGCTGAAGTGGAAGCATCAAAACCTTTGACTGGGTTGTGGAGAAGATTCCACCATTGACCTTGCCTGAACTGCACCTCCTCCTTCATGTCCTGTGCGGGCACATCGGGCGACGAGTGCCTTCCATAGTGTTCGATCTCCAGCCACGGTTTCTTTATTCTTCCTTTCAGGGTCGACACCTCCTAGGTCACTCTGGAATGTTTGGTGCCAGGTCTTTTTTGTTCTTCCTCTTCTCCTCCAACCACCTAGTGGTATCCAGTTAACCACAATCTTAGCAGGACGTTGTGAGTCTTCCTCATTCGTAATATGGGTCCAATATATAATACGTAATATCTTTCTAACCCAATGTTGCTGAAAGACGTTGATCTTCTGGGGAATTTTTGTTGTAAAGTTCCAGGCCTCACTAGCATAGGTGGCAACTGGTACAGCAATGGCATTAAATAATCTGCACTTGCTTATAAGCTCTATAGCGGACATACTCCAGGTGCGTTTGTCAGAAAACATCGGATCTGGATTAATGGAGGAGCAGATTGATTTAAGTGGACTTCCACCGTCAGATCTTTTGCCACATTCTGGGGCTCCTGACCCTTGCCCTTCTGCTTGTTGCTATCGAAGCCACTCCATACGCTAGGAGGTCAGCCTCTGGCCGATTTCAAAAATTGCACTTGGATCTGTTGGAGCACCACGAAATGAAGCAGCTAAAAGATGGATGGACTTCGCCTTCAATTTACAAGAGCTGAGTGGGGCTGACATGGAGAGGGCATTTTGGAGACTCATCCATAGAGTGTGACGGCACATAACAACAGCAACAAAAACCATCCCTTCAGATTCATCTGGACAGTACAACCTGTCCTACTAGAAAGAGGAGCCTGCAGCCCATGGACAAAAATGGTCTACCGGTGTTTGCACATCTGGCTACCACACGAGCTCATTCTCAAGCTCCCAACCCCTCTCCCAGCAGGGTCTCTCCAACTGGTCCTGGCAAGGGAGAGGAGGCAGGACCTGGGGAAGAAGGTGCTGAGTGATGCAGTCCTGCTTACCTCTGAGCGAAAAGCCTTATTCTGGTTGCTTGTGAGTTCACTTTAAAGCTGGTAATAATCATATTTGGGCCAACCAAACGGGGAATGTGCCCCGCTCCCAGACCATTCCCAGGATGGAATTTGGCCCTCGGACTGGACAAGGTTCCCACTCCGGCTGCAGAGGCACCCACGAGGGGCGCTGAGCCAAATCAACAGGTACCATGAATATGGCGCAAGGCAGTGGATGGCGAGCAGAGTCCTCTGTGAACACCACACCTGGACCACGTGACCAGCCATGGCAGCTCAGATCCGTGGCCCAGCTGCTCTTTGGGTGGCACTGCACACTCACTGGGTTCACACAGTGCAAGTGCTGGGAGTGAAAGGGGCTGCAGGCATGCATTTCAAAGCCAGGGAGACGGACTCTTCAGTTGGAGAGGATGGGCCCTGGGAAACGGCCTCCAGATGTCCAGTTGGAAGAGGTGGGAGGGTTTATCTCCAGGCCGCCCTCGTCAGGATTTCAGGTGGACTGCAACTGCTGGTGGGGATGTGGGAGTCCCAGGAGCCAGACGAGCCTGGTACGATCCTTGACCCCACAACGTGGCGTTGGGAGAGATGGGCTAGCCAACTAGGGGGCAGCATACAGCTCAGAGGCTGGCCCACATCCAGAAGGCCCTGGGTCACTCAACAGGAGGGTTCTCAGAGGTGGTTTCTCATGTGGGTTCAACAAACCACTCCGCATGCTCAGAGACTCCTCCTCTGGTGATTATGCCTTCCTGAATGCACCCTGGAGGATAAAGAGCTTTTGCCAAAGAACCATCTGTGGTTTTGAGCGGGCAACAGAGGAAGCTGGCTTCCAACAGCAAATCAGGGACGGCTTGTATTGTCTGAACCTAGCCAGAGTGGAAAACAGACCATGTCACTGGGTCCAGACAGTACAACTAGCCACCCTGGCTTGTAAGACACCCTGGTGTGTTGTGTGAACACAGCCATCCTCCCCAGTTTATTAGGTTAGAGTGAAATGGTTAGGGGATTGGTACTACTTGAGGTACATACCACTCCACTCTTGAAATTCTCGATGCGTTTCTTTCCGATGCGGTTTAAGAGCCACCATGCCCAGGTTGGTGCATATTGCCAGAGGTAGCAGACGGCCAAGTAGGGATTGTCACTGATCCAGGCTTCCTTCACATCATTCGCCGTGCTGACCAAGGTGAGGCGAACACAACGCTCAGTCGACATTTTGTGGGTTTGGTCCCCAACATTTTTATTTACCTAGACAAGGGGAGAAAGTTAGACCATGTTGCAAGAGACCTTTATTAAGGTTCTTTGCCTTTATATCCTCTGCTTAAAAACGGGGTGTTAACCTATACCAGCATATGTTTTACACTAGAGGTGGCGTTGGTCCTTCAGGTGCAATCAAACAGCCTGAGAACTTTGGCTACAGGCAATATAAAATGAAATTAATAGTAATAAATACTTAGCTGGTACAGTTGGACTTCAGATCCCACGGTTTGCTATCCCATAAAGGAACTCTGCACCTTTGCAGCGTCAAGTGCCCAAGCTACTCGAGTCCCGTCTGAACTAGCAAACGAAGGACTGAACTCGGCTCCCAAACCAGAACTGCAAACCCAGAACCCTCGCTGTGCAATCCTGGCTTGGAGGAGCAGGTGCAAAACCTGGTTTGCTGCTGTGGCAGAGTAGGATTTGATCAGTGAATGCAGGGGGTAGGCAACTTATGCCCCCCCCGGTAGCAAAGCCCTAGCCAACATAGCCAATGGTAGGGGATGATGGGCATTATAGGCCAAAAGATTTGGATGGCAAAACATCACCCTCCCTTGGCAGATATGCCAATCTCAACTGGTTCCAAGATCTGCTTTTTTTGGCTAGAAGGACTCTGGCCGGTATTGAAGGACCTCCCCTCTCCAGCCCAAAGCCCCCATTCAGCAGGGTTCCCTGACGCATTCCCATCATACTCGAAGAAGGTAAAGTGTAACATCTCTCAAATAAAATGGAAGTATTGGAAGGAAAAGAGCACCGACACCTTGTTTGGGTTATTAAGCTGTAGCAGTCTTCTTCATAATTCTGCTGTTCATGCATATTGAGATTGAAATTGCTGGATTTAAACTCGTGTTCTTCTGCTTGTTTTTTAAAAATCAACCATTGCTTTGGATTTGAGATAAAGTCAGTTGTTTAACAGCAAAAAACAGGAACTGACTCAGTGCCAGCCTGTGTAACTCAGACCAAGACTGTCGGTGCATTTGCCAAAAAACAGTAAACACAGAAGATGGGGAGCAAACAGTGAACAAGAGTGTGAAGATCACAGTTTTTAATATTTCAAAATGCACTGCAAAGGCCCAAAACCCAACTGCAACACCATCGCTTGCACACCACCTCACACGTGGCCACACCAAGTCTCTTGACAGGCAACACTTTCCCACATCAACAAAATTCCGTCTGCGGAGGGTAGGTTAGCCTTCCCCCAGACTGCTGGCCTTCTGTGAGTGTAGAAATCTTTTACAAAACAACCCGTGGGGAAGCAGACGCCTCACCTGCCTTCCGAAATGGCTTGGTCCAGGTACAGTCCAGCTCCCTCACCTGCACAATTGCTGGTGGTTACCTGTATGGCCCTTTAATATGGTGGAGGATCCAAGGCACGTTTCGCAAGCCAGTTTAGCATATGGCATACTTTGCCAGGGAGTCTACAATGCTTTACACACAGTAGATTTTCTGGTGCCGACAGTTGCTAGTCTTTTCTTGCACTGTGCCCCACAGGGAGCCAACTAACTTCGCACTGGCTGGCCAGTGACGCTCCTGAGTCAGCTTGTCCAGGGCTTTTCTCTGCTGATCTTCCACCAAATGCGTCCAGGCAGATCCAGCACCAGTATTTGCTTTCCCCACGAGCCACGCCAGCTGTTTTTCCCACCGGGTAATGGTGGCCCCTATTTATCTATCAGCAGATGGTATGCCTCTGAACTGCTAGGTGGGCAGGAGCGGGGGAGAGCGACAGAAGATCACTCTGGCCCTGAGCCTGGGCTCAAACTGCCAGAGTGCTGAGCATTTTCTGGCCGACTTTTCCAGCATCATTAAGCCACTTCATCGCTGCATCCCGTCAGGACATCGAAGGAAGCCCCACGGAGCAGTAAAGCACGTGCCTCTGCCCCCTTTTAATTCCCTGCCATGTTCTCCACGGCAATGCTTCCATTCTTACCTTTGAGACCTCTTCAGTAAAGACATTTTGGATGATCTGTGACTGGACAGGGCCTGGGCAGATGTTAATTACACTTATGCCAGGATACTCAGTGAGCTCAGGCCGGAGAGAGTTGAAGAAACCCTAGAGAGTAACAACAGTTAAACGCATCCATAGACACCGTTTCTTCTCGAAGGTCAAACAGGACATTTTACAGGAGATACCCCACAGAGAATAACTGTATTCAGACGTTAAGACACAAGCCGTGGTCTGAACCTGTACCTGAAATTTGTTTTTACAAGTGTCCTATAAAGGACTACTGGTGCCATTGACAAATTTATTAAATAAGAATGTGTCACATCAGAATTTGCTGTCGGACACTTCCCTGTGCCCAGCATCAGAACCTGGACTGATATCCTGGTTTATTAACAAACTAGCCATATTTTTTTTTAAATCTGGCTTAGCAGAGGCAACTTCAATAACCAAGAACCCACCTGTAAAACAAACATAGCATTACATCTGAACCCAGGTTTCTGGTTTGTCAATCCCCCAACAAGCCAGAGTGTGAAGGGGGCTTACAGTTCCTGGCTTTTTGCATAATGACAAGCGATTTGTTGGGTTCCGATGGAATGCAAAGCTTTTTCTTGCTGGTGGGAGGAGTCCTTTGGCTAGTGAAATATAAGCAAGGATTCTACAGAATTCTGGGGTACCGTTTTGCAGAAATGTGGCCAGCAGTTTCTACAACCTAGAAACTTCCAGGCACAGGGGCTGATGGGATACATGCCAACAATGGGAGAACTAAGCAAGGTCGGTGGAAACCCTGCTAGCACAGAAACCCCTCGATCGTTTGTCAGGCGCATCCATGCCAACAACTGCACGCCATGGAAACCGCTCGGGGTTGTCATGATGTATGAACCCAGGTGCTCTGAAATAGCCGCTCCAGACTCTATTCTGTTTCCTTTTTTTATCTTGCACCATTTCCAGGGGATGCCACAAAGGCACACGTCGCCCATCCCTGCTGCTGGCCTCAGGCCATCGAGCGAGACTGTGGCACAGCTGACGTTCCAGGCTGCCCTCCATCACCACACTGCCCAGTGGCAGGCGGGGGAAACGTCTCACCTGCAGGGCATGCTTGCTGGCGCAGTAGCCAGTGGCCAAGGGGGCTCCCATGATGCCCATCACGCTGCTCATGGTGACAATCTTCCCCCTCCTCCTCTGTATCATGTGATCCAAGACGTGCTTGGTTAAGGACACGGTGCCCAGGTAGTTGAGTTCCATGATGGCGCTGTAGACATCCACACTCGTATCCACAAAGAGAGAGCGCTGCGACCGACCGCCGTTGTTCACCAAGATGTCAATCTTTGGCCGTGGAGGAAACAGGCGAAACATCAAGTATTTGCTGCCCACCCACATTGTCCTCCTTATGGAGACATCCCGTTGGCTTATTGAGGAAGTTTGCATCCCGCCCAATGGCCAAAACTCACTAGTTTGGAGCACCCGCAGCCCCCCAGGGCAGCAGGCACCCACCCACCCCGAAATTATAGGAACACCCCGCCCCATCAAAATGTTTTTAGAAACCCTTTTTGCAGAAGAAATGGCACCTGCTGCTACCATGGGTCACTATTACAGTAGCTCATCTACAAATGAAATTTCACGTTGGGTTTTGCAGGTACTCCGCCAAGCCTTTTCAGCATTCACAGGGGCAGGGAGCAACCTGGATAAGGGCGTGTGTGAAGCTGGCCACCAAATTTTCAACAGCTGCCCTTCTCTGACTTAGAACACACTTAGAGAGACTGATAAATACCCTACAAATGTGCTTGCAAAACGCAAACACAAGCAAACCCTAAAACTAGCAGCGGGTGCTTCCTTCCAAGATTCCTTCTAGCTGTTATATTATTGATCTGTTGCATAATGACTCCTAATCCCTTGATGTATACCTCCACAACAATTTCGTGGAGCTATAAGGGAGGAGAAAGGACGAGAAAATGTGTCACTACGACTGTGAGCAAATGGAGCTGATTAGGGGCTCCAGACCAGCTGCTTATCTTTAAGATGCAGGACAAGCTACGTGGAGTCCCATGACGCTGAGAACTCAAATATGGAAGCTGTAAGGAGTCCTGACAAGGCATGTGAAGATATGCAGACCACTGTAAGGCACCAAAGCAGAAACTTCTGAGGTGCAAGATTCTGGCAAGTCCACAGAAGCGGAGCTGTTAATGTCACACACAACCAACTGCTCTCCAGATGTGTTGCATTAAATTCCTAGCAATACTTGATCTTCCATGTACCATCTTGGAAGAATGCCAAACCTTTATACGCTTTAAAGAAAACATTATACAACATACTTGTCTAGGTCAGATATGATGCTAATCCATAGTTTATTTGGTTTGTTACTGTAAGCACAGGATTTGTCTTGCAGACGAGCAAACAAATCAAGGTTTGTTTTGCTAATCCCTGGCTTGTTTGCTTCCCTCGTTTGTCCATTCCTTTCCTGCACTTCAGATGCCTTTGCATCCTTATAGTGCTGGCATGCAGAGCAGCTTCAGGGTGGAGTTGATTGCTCTCGCAAGATGTCTCCGAAGCCTGGTAAGACAACCCACAGTTCTGCTCCTCCATGTAATGGCACTTCCTGGTTTAAACATTCCTGACTTCACAACCCAAAGCAAACTGTAGGCCCCCTTTCCGAGTGGTTCATGGTTTGTCAGCACAGCTGGGTTTGCACAACACAAAAACCCAAAATTCATCAACCCATACCTTGGCTTAGTGCCACATGCCAACCAGGCCAATGTTACTTCAGTAACCCAGTGCAACGTGTGACTTTCGATGGCCGCCCCTCCCCACCACCCCGCATGGTGCCGATTCGGGGCATTCTTAAAGCTGCTCTACTCAAGTTAGCAAGTGAAGTTACCTTTCCAAAATGCTGAAGAACACTCTTGGTTGCAGGTCCATGAGAACTTCTGTTGGTCAGATCAAGCGGCACAATAAGAATATCCTTGTCACTTAAGCTGCTGATTTCTAAAAGCAAAGACAGAGGAGGAAGAGGGCAAAATAATGATGTTTCGGAATGAGCCTACCCATTCCAGCATGTAGCAGCAGAACCTCACACACACGGATAAACACAAGGGTCCCCTCAAACGGCAAACTGGTTGCACCAGCTCAGCCGTCCGACAGCAGCCCCCCTCCGGCTGTCTCGGAATGCAGCTTCCATCAGCCCCTGGGAGCTGCGATCCAAAGCATATGCAAGGCACCGGGTGGCCTCCACGGATTTCAGGTACGCTTTTCCCAGCCCTTCCTAGAGATGCCATGGATGGGGAAAGAATGGCTTTTGGAAGGATCCGCCCCCGGGGGAGTGAAAAGAAAAACACGAGCAAAATGCTAGTAGCCACAACTTCACAGTGGCTCAACAGAGTCCAACAGGATCGGAAGGTACATGGGACCAACTGGAAGGATCCAGCCCAAGTGTCTCCAAGCTGCGGTCCTCCAGGTCAGTCGGGCTACCACTCCCGTCCTCCCCAGACAATGGCCGTGCCCTTGCTAGGCCCAGGAAAGAACCCGGCCTGCAATCCTGGCATGCCCTCGCTGCGATTCTGTGCCAGAGGAACCAGGGCTCCTGCCAGCGTTCCAAGCAAGGGCCAAGCTGTAAGTATCTGGGCCAAAGGTCAGTGAAAAGCCAATACCCACCGCAGTGTGAACCGCGGTCCATCACCGGAAAAAGAAGACCTCTGGAAGGGGAGGAGGGAGGATAAAAGTGCAGCCGCGCTGATCGATACACTAACTGGAAAGCAACCACAAAGCAAGCCGCTGCTCTGTCAGCAGCCACATCTAGGAGACTGATTAACCCTGGTGGTAGTGACGCCTCTGGGGCCAATCTCCAGGCCGAGGGACATCACAGAACAAAAAACAGTAGAGTTGGAAGGTTTTCCAAGGTTTATCAGATGATAGCCGGTGGTTCTGAGAGTTGCTCTGCTAGCTCTTTTGTGACTCTGGGATAGAATCCACTGGACCCTGGAGACTGGAACCTGTTTATTCCATCAAGGTAGTCCTTAACCATTTGACTGTCAATCTTGGGCTGCCATCTTACTTCCAGCTTGTATTATAGATTTCCTTGTGAGAGAAGACTGAGGCGAAGTAGGAACTGAGCGCCTCTGCCTTTTTCCCGTGGTCTGTTACCATTCTGCCATCCACTTTAAGTCGCCAGGCAGCCTTCCCTTTCTCATGTCTTTTGTTCTGGATGTCTCTGAAGGCGGCTTTCTTGTTGTTCTCAGCATCCCTCGCCATTCTCAGTTCATTTCCTGCTTTAGCCTTCCTGATGCCGTCCCGGTAATTCCTTGCTATTTGTTTATATTCTTCCTTTGAGGCCAGGCCCTGCTTCCACTTCCTCTACATGTTCTTTTTTTCTTTGAAGTTGTCCCTGAACTTTTTGTAGAGCCCCATGGGCTTCCTCTGTTGTCTTCTACATGTTTTTCTTGTTGGAATTGTTCATACTCGTGCTTGGAGAATTTTCTTGTTCAAGATTTCCCACCGCTCTTGAACTCCTTTCCCCTTAAGAGTGAGTTTCCATGGCACTTCACTTATTTTTCTGTGTTTGTCGAAGCTGGCTTTCTTGAAGTCCAGGATATGTGTTTGGCTGCAGATAACCTTTGTCTCCTTTATAATTAAGAATTCGAGTATCGCATGGTTGCTTTGCCCCAGAGTTCCCATGACTGCTGTTTTGTCCACCAGGCCATCCCTGTTCGAATTAAATTGAGGACAGCTGTTCCTCTCTTTCCTTCTTCTACTTTCTGCTGGAGGAAGCTGTCAGCAACGCATGTCAGGAATCTCTTGGAGGGGCCGTGTTTGGCGGAAATTGTCTCCCAGCATATTATCAGGGAAACTGAAGTCTCCCTTGATGACTATGTCATTCTTCTTGGAAATGCTGGCAAGTTGCTTTTTGAAGGTTGCTTCCTTGTCCTCTGGGACTGGAGCTTGGGAAGTGGATAGATACTTTCCCTGCACCTCCATCCAAACTGTGGGAGCCAGCAAAACTCCCAAGGTCCAGGTAGTCAGCCCCAGCCTGGTGGATTTTAATGGCCAGGAAAAGCAAGAAGCATAAAAGATGGTCATGGGTCTCAAGATACTAATTGAAGCATCTCCAGACTAACATGACTAAATGGTGTCTTGTGACTTATCCTATCCCATTTGTAACACTTGCGTAACACTTGGCCTCAGAAGCAGCATTTCTGTCATAATTCATTTGAGTTGGTTCAATAGAAATGCAGCTTCAACACAGCGTGTTCTGTCTGGTCGTGGAACTAAACACTTGGGCCAGATATTTCTCAGAGTCAGTCCCATGCATAGTTAGATGGAAAATGACCCCAAACTCCCAGAATCTTCTGGCCAACCATGGAGATTTCTCATCGAAACATGCATTGGATTGTGCCGTGAGACATTCTAAATCAGAGTTTGTTTTTTCCTAAGGGATACTGAATCCCTCAGAATGGGGATGTGCTCAGAATGGGGATGCTCAACGCTGAAGTGGGAAATCCGGGTTCTAGTTCCCATTCCACCATGAAGCCCACTAGTTAATGATGGGCACTCATTCACTCTCACCCTACTCAACCTCACAGGGTTGTTGTGTGGATAAAATGGAGTTATGTAAACCAACGCGGGTTCCTCCCAAGAGGCAAAGGCAATCTAATAACACTAAAGCATGTTTTTTTTCGTTGGTTCTCTCCTTGCCAACTCCACCTTCAAATGTTGCTATTATGATTTCCGTACTAAAGTGCATCCATGTATACAGCTTTTCCCAAGCTTTCCAAAGTGGGAACGATCTCAGATCAGAATTTCACTGAAGCTGTTCTGAAGTGCCCATCCAGAGCAGGTAAACGTGACCGGCAGAATTCAACAGATGGCACTGTGAGCTAATGCCACAACAATCCACTTACTTTACAGAATTTATGCTCCCCCTGCACCTTTAAATGTTATAGATTTATCCAATCCTGATCCTTTCTATCAGCTGCAGGCTGCAAGAATCCCAGGAACATTGCATGGGTTGGTTAATCATTAAATCCCTCTCCAGGCAAGCACTTTTTCTTCAGCTGCTGAGCAAATATGAAATGGAAGGGCTGTTTTGCAACAGAGGCCTGCCAGCTCCTGCTCAGCACTGTGAACCTGGGAGCAACAGCCCCTGGGACAAGAACCATTCTAATACCAAACTGCCATGAAAGAAGGCAGCCTTCTTCTCTACCCTACTTGGCTAGGTTTCAAGAAGCAGAAGCTGGATCAGCATGTAAGTTATGAATGCTATGGCTTAGCTCCATTTTCCTAGTACAGGGATGGGAAAACTTCGTGCAGCCCAAATGCAATTTTGGAGATGTGCCAGGTGGGAGTTGCATTCCGGGGGTGGGCAGAACCCAAAGCAAAGGGCATGGAACCAAAACCAGGAAGAAGCAGTGACCGCTGGCTTCTCCGTGGACGTGCAAGCAGCACTTCAGTGCAAGTGCCACTAATCCAATTCCTTTTTTGGAGTGCGATTGTCTTCCTTGGAAGCCCTGAAAAAGAAAAGCACTGCGGGGCGACCGAAGGCATGGAAGCCGGGAGACGGAGCAGCCTCCGCTCATTCGCAAGGTGCTTTTGTGCAATGTGCTGACCTTTTGTGGGGGCCACAAAAATCCAGGGGTGAAGAGCAGGAATGGGCAGGATGTACTCTAAAATGGCCCAAAGAAGAGCTAGTGACAACTTTATACCCTTGAACTCTTAAAGAAAGCTGCAAGGCAACCCTATGAACAGAGTTTTGTTCCAGGTGTCTTTACGCTGCCACAAGTGACACTGTGCAAGGGCAATCAAGGTGCAACAGCACAGAGGTAGTGTCCGTCTGGATCAAGCTGAAGAACCGTCATCACCAAGCTAGCAGCAGAGCGGTGGACAAAATACCCAACAGAGGTGCACCAGCCGGTGTCCCTTATGCCTGCACCGTCGTCGCCATTAAATAATCTGCTTAGGGAAAAGCACCATTCTATGTGTTTCTAACATCAAATAAAAAGAAGTTTTTAAAAACAGGACAGTACCAAGGCACTTCTTTTTCACCCTCTCCAGTTCGTTCTCCCGTCTCGCCGAGAGGGCAAGCAAAGACCCGATCTTCGCCAGCTGGTAGGCCAGCTCCTCTCCGATTCCGCTGGAGGCCCCAGTCACCCAGACAACCTGCCCGGGCAGCACCGCCTCTGTCAGAGGAAAAGACACAGGCATGAAATACGTTAGGTTCGCACCGCAAGTCGGGTGGGCAAATTTGCATGCAGCATGCACGGCTTCTCTCCAGAGGCAGCAGGTGCTTTGGGGCGGGTTCAGCCGTGTGGCTGAGGGCAGCGCAGTCCAGCAGGTGTCTGCTCACACAAGGGGGCTTCCATCTCCTCAGCTCCCACCTCCCCACAGAGGACTTGGAGCTCCCCCACAACCCTCCAGGCCAGATTCTGGGGGCTCAGAGATGCGGAAGACAATTGCTCCGTCCCCATTGCATCGAGAGATGCAGCCCTGCCAGTGAGAACATAAGAAAAGCCACGCCAGATCACACCAAGGTCCATCTAGTCAAGCATTCTGTGCACACAGTGGCCACGCAGCTGCCTGTGGGAAGCACCTAAGAAAGGCACAAGTGCAGCAGCCCATGTTCCCCAGCATGCTGCCTCTGATACTGGGCGCAGCCTATAGCCTTCAGAACTGGCTGTGGCCTCGCAGCCTTTTCTTCCACGCCTTTGTGGAATCCCCTTTTAAAACCACGACTATGGTTTTAAGGACTATGACTTAAGGTAGCCAGTTCCATGCACAGTGTGAATAAAGCCTTCCTTTTATCCGTCTGGAATTGCCCATGGAGTTGTCCCAGGGAGTCATGTTGGTCCTTTGCTCCCAAAGTGACAGAGAGTCTTGGTACACCTTGGAGGTAACACACATATAATGGTAGAAACTTCTTTCAGCTGGGAGCCAGGAAATCTTAAATTGTATCAAATGTTTTAGATTTTAAAGTGTCTGAGCACATATTCACCCCCTCGGATTGAAGCTTGAGGTCATTCGGGCGAGTCGTGGAAACTTTCGTCAGCAAAAGGTAAACTCCAATTCAGCTGACCAAACGGTGGGTGATTTGCACAGAGCAATCCTACAAATCAGTTTTACCCAGTTGGGGCGTGTACAACTCCAGCTCCTTGACCTTTGCTATGTCAACAAAAGCAAAAGAAATTGAGGGCTCCGTGTTATCAAAAAGTACAGGCAATATGGCAAATATGGGGATACACTGCTAAAATGGTTGCCTCATCCAAGGTTACTGTTTAGCAACCACTATAGGGCAGATCAGCTCTCAACCTGGTTCCCTCCAGATGCATGGGACTGGCCAGGGGATGCTAGGAGTTGTGGTTTCTCACAGGCTGGGCGATGGCAGGGGCTTCCGCAGCAGTTGTGCTGGGAAGCTGCTCAGAATGGAGCTATGCACTCCACAAACTTCACAGGAGAGAGACTTCCATTCATTGCATTGTAAAGCTTCACCTAAAATAAAAGACGAGTTCTGGTGACTCAGACCCATCTAGTTCAGTTCACACAGCATTCCACCAACAGTCCATGGGGAAAACAATGGTCTGCTCCTGCCCACGTTCCCCAGCAACTGGTGTGCTGGGGCACACTGCCTGATGGTGGAAGCAGCTTTATGCCATCAGGACTAGCAACACTGATGGTCTTCCTCTCCTTTTAAAGCTATCCAAACAGGTAGTCATCAAAAATAAGCAAATTTGATTATTTAACTATGGGCTGGTGAGAAGTAGCATTTTCACTCTAGAATTCCTGCCATTTAGAGTGTCCCTGGATTCTACTCTTATAAAAAAGGGTTTTCTCCTTATCTCCTTTGTTCACAAGATCATTTTTTTAAAAAAATACACCTCAATTAGGTATAGCTCCACAACAGCACCCACAAATATGTGTGCTCCTGAACCCCACAAAATAGCAGCACACAGAGGTCTATATTAGAACTCACTCCCTACTCTTTGAGTGGAACCAACAGGAAGGTGTTGTTTTACATGCGGAGGAAAAAAAGCAGCTTTGCATGACCAGCCTGAAGCAGTGTGGTCCAGCAGGAACTGCTATGTATGTAAACAATGCAATGCTTTTGCAAGAGCTGAGCAGGGCCAGGCGTTCCGGAGCGGTTTCATTCGTAGGAGACAACCTGGCGGCACAGAACGAAATATTCTCCGGAGCTCCTGCTGCTCAGACACTCCTCCGTAAAGTCATATTGCAGTAAGGAAGACCCAGTGGAATCAATGGGAGTGCCAAGTTCCATTTCTTTCAATGCGTCTGAATGAACATGGGTGCTTTCAGAGCAGGGTAGGGCTGGTAGCCTATTGGGGAGAATGAGGGTAGGCACGGAGGAGCAGTGGTGGGAGAGGGCAGAAAGGGGAAAGAAGCAATCGTGCAGCAGGGCTGGCTGGGGAACACTAAGAGCTGCAGGACTTGGTTCTGGGCAGGCAAGCATCGGATCGCACCCTTAATCTTCCAGTAACACAAAGAGCTCTCTTTCCATGCACTGCAGCCTTCTTCCAGCTGGGGCCTTCCAATGTGGCACCTACGACCCCCGTGAGCTCCACACTGGGAAAGGCCGACGTTCTGGTAACCGGACATAATCCAGGTCTGACCCAGCCTGTTCTTTCTTTGCATTAAGAAGCACAGAGTCTTAATGCACAGGTGTTAAAGAAATTCAGCCTTGGTTGTTCAGTTATTCCTATGGCTAGTTCAGTGTTTTACAACACAGGTGGCAGAAGCATTGCTGTGGCTTCTGACTTGGTTGAGATAACAAACCTAGGTGAACAATCCATAGTTCACAACCCAGCAATAAACCATGGGTTCTCTTGCTAGGTTGTTTGCTGCTGCAAGCCATGCCTTGTTAGTCCAACTGGCTTTGGACAATACGTTAGCCAACATTTCCACAAAGAAACCCAGTTTGACGACAACCCACACTCAACCCTTGAATGTCGTTTACTGCATTGCTTGATCCATGCGACTGAATTCATGTTGTACAAAACCAATCTCTGTGTGAGGATGTGAGAGTGAGCTGGCAGAAGGAGCTTTGATGGCCCTTTAGCAGGGATCATACAGTGAATGCCCTTCCATGTCTAACTTGCTTGTGCAAAGCCTGACAGGGGCCAACGTCTTGGACTTCTTGCTACACCAGTGCAATGGCACAGCTCACAAAATCATGTAGCCATGATTGTGGCCTAGGACAGCCTTCTCCTGGCTAAGTGTCCCCTAGATGTGTTGGGCTACAACTCCCAATATCCCCAGCCAGCATGGATAGAAGATCAGGGCTGATGAGCATCTTTAATCCAGAGGGCCAAATTCAAGTTTGGGGAAGTTCTTGGGCACCAAACTGAAGAGGTGGGCAGGAGGACCAAAGCTAAAAGTGGGTTGGGCCATCAAAAACTGGGAAAGACAGAAAGACGGACCTGTGGGTCCCGGATCAAATCAAACCAGAGCTTTCCCTGCAAACAAAGATGGCGAAACTGAGGCTGTGATACTTTGGGCCCATCATGAGAAGTGAGGACTCCCTGGAGACGACCATCATGCTAGGGAAAGTCACGGGCAGAAGAGACAGAGGGAGACCAAATAGGAGATGGATGACCTCCATACAGGGAGCCCCAGCCTTGAGTTTAGAAGAGCTAAGCAGTATGTCATGGACAGGACCTTCATTCATAGGGTCACCCTAAGCTGGAGATGGCTTGATGGCCCATGACGACGATGACAACAGCAACAACGACAACAACAACAGCAGTGTGGTGCAGTGGTTAGAGTGCAGGACTGGGACTCAGCCAGGGAGTTTACCGGGTGACCTTGGGCCAGTCACAGACTCTTGGCACAACTTACCTCACAGGGTTGTTGTTGTGAGGGTAAGAGGAGGAGGAGGACGAGGGGGAGGAGGAGGAAGTTTATATAAGCCACCTTGAGTTCTTTGAAAACATGGTGTAAATTGGTGTCCTACAACAGCAGGGGGATGGATCAGATGGCCTTCATGGCCCCTTCCAACTCTACTGTTCTATGATTCTAAGAAAGGAAATATATTTTATAAATATGTAAGTATAATAAATAAATTTAGGTTGGATCCAGCCTATGTTCCCAGGCACAACCAACCGAGGATGCCATTTTTTTGCATATTTAGCCAGAAAAAGTCCTACACGGCTGGTCAAGGGACTCTGGAAGGAGTAGAACTAGCTTCTGTACCAGCACGCAAACACCGTCACCCTTTACCTAGATTCCTCTCACAGCTCTGTAAGATAAGGCAATACTGAATATATCCATGAGTACACCGTTCAAACCTTGCTGTAAAATCCACCCTTTGTACTACCACTTGCACACTGAATTCTGAAAAGGGACCTGAATGGCCACACTTGCAGTTACAATCTGGGACATGTGCCCTGATTCAACTCAGGTTCCAACTCAGATCCTGGCTCAGCACTTCAGAAAGTGGCCCAGCCTTCCTCATACCATGTCTAAGGCTGCCTGTTTCAACTTGGGTATCAAACCAAGATTTAGAAATGTGAAGCTCTGTGCTTCCCACTGACTCCTGTGGAAACATCTGAGGCTTCCTCCTTCTCAACTATCATGGAAAATTGAAACAGTTGTAACTCTTCCCCATTTGTTAGATTTGGAGAGAATCTGCAAGCCTAAGACCTCCTTAGAAGGCCCTTCTGCCAAATTTCAGAAAAGAGGAGTCCAGTGAATTTTGTGAACCTTTATAGTTCATTTTTTAAAAATCCCTAAATGCATTTTGGGCAAAATTTGACGATGTTTGCAGGGATACTCCCCCCCCCCCCGAGGTGACCAAGTCTATCATGTTTCAAATGAATAGGTGCAAAGAGCTTTGTGCAAGAATAGCCTTCACATGTTTAAGATACCTTGCAACAAGCAACACATGCAGGCTAGTAGCCCTGGTAGAAGAAAAGGTGAGAGCACTGGAGCAGCAAGTACTGACCTTCAAGGTAATAAAAGAAGATGAAGCGTTTTTAGACTGAGGTAGAGCTGCAACAGCCAATTACAAGCAGTGTATCAACAAGCTGAGGCAGAAGAAGAAATGTCTGAGGGAAGGGAAAATGAGGAAACTCCCTGGAACAGGATGACCGTTAAATGATGAAGAACTAGAAGACACCCTGTGCCCAGTGGAAGCAGCGGAACTCTTAAGTTACTCAAGGATGAGACAAGT